CTATCGTTTCCAAAGCTGGTCCAGTGATCACAAATGTAACTGTGGTTGTTCCTCTGTTATGTGTGTATCAAAGTGAAATGTGAGCATCAGAGCGTGTGTGTGTGTTCTTGTTATACGCTTTCAGATTACAGAGTTATTCCAGCTATTTTTCTGTTCTCTGCAATAGCAAGTGGGTTGTTGTCACCAGCCAGCTACGAGTTTTACAAGTTTACTTTTATATAATATGCAGCTTTGCATGCAAAACCAGACTATGATGGATACCCAGCATAGAAAATGAGTTCAATGCTATGGTAAGTCTGACTCTGAAGGCTTCGGCTCAGTATTACTTGTTAAACTCAGGGTCTTGCTGAACAAGGCCTATGTTCATTAATACTTAAAACTAATGTGACAGATATAGTAAGGTATAAGGAAGGGTTAATGCCGAACCAGGTGTCTATAGTAAAAAATTTATAGACTTGGATGACAAAAAGGAAGAAGTGACTTTAAGTTCATGTGTTTTTGTTTTGAAAGTGTGAAGTTAGAATCTGCCATATGTCTGTTTCTTATGTAACTCTTAATTTGATCAATACCTTAAAAAAAGCCTGACAATTCTCAACGCTCATATAAGTAAGTTTTAGTACCCGTTTTAGTCATAAGTTGTAGAAATATAGAAATAGTAGATCTTGTCACCAATGATCTTGTTTGCATTAGTGAAAACAGAGGCATTCGTATTCATTTCAGTCTGTTTTATAACCAGCTCATAGAAGTGGTATCATGCTCATTTTCAGGCTTTGTGTTGTCCCTGTGGTACCTCTGAGGCAGTGTGCACCTGTACCTCTATTTAAGCAACAAAAGACAAAGCATGAAACATGGCTATATGTTTTATGCTCTGCATCTGACAAAGAAAGATTAGAAAAGAAACAAGAAAATCTTTAGAAACAAAGAACAGATCAGGACATTACTGTTTGTCAAGTGTAATGAGGAGCTTCACCAATCCTTGACATAACAAACTGAGCAAGTCTCATGATTTTTTGAACGAGCAAACCAGCGCAGCCAGAGGTCTAATCTTGGATTTACTCTAACACATGTTTATCTCGTAATTTGAAACTCTGCCCATGTCTAATGAGTTCAAGCGATGCCACCTATACCACTCCTCACACCTCCTCGCTCCATGGTTTTAATGCAGTGTAACTAAGGTACACTGAAAAAAAATTAGAACATTTAGCCTTTTTTTTAGGTAATCATACACGAATTCAAACATCTTTACAAATACTATATTGCATTTCTACCAAGTCTGTTCTGCTAAATACTGCAAAGTTTTACGCACTGTACCTTTAACTATCCCAGAAATTAGGCATGACTTAGTTGCACAAGACAGTTGTAGTCATAAGCTAAGCTTGTAGATTGTCTCATCTTGGCTCTTAACCTAATAGTATGCTTGTGAAACCACATAAAAACAAAAAAAACAAAATATCTGAAAGTCATCATAGCATCTGGTCTTTTCGGCGTAAAAATAAGAACAAAATGAAAAAAATAATACATTTGTATTACAGGTTGCCTGCCACTCTGAATACAGGTGCATACATGTGCTTGTGTGTACATGTTTAAAAATATACCCTTAAATCAGCACAGGGGTGTGCATGATCCCTCATATGATCATGATCAGCAGCTGTGGAGGGGCCCCTGTGTTTGGGTGGTCTCCCACCCTCATCCATAAATTAGAACCCTATACTCTTCTGCTGCTATGTATGTAGAGTTAGGTTAACACGCTTTGCTTCGTCACATCACATCTTGTACCTAACACCCATCAGGGCAAAATTACAGACCATCTGGTCAGGTTGTGAGGTTAAAATGCTCCTGATTCAAATTTACATCCTCATTCTTATAGTTCAGATCACTGATCTTGAGTTTAGTCCAGTGCCGATTTCTGAAACTTTCAGTGATCGGGTAAACCAAAAAATGTCTCAACACATTAAAAATTCAATTAGAGGCACTGTGAGGAGTTTTTAGCTCCTGAGAAACAGACTCAAACTATCACTGACCAAACAAGATCATCAGAAACAATGCTGATATTTTCTCTGTTGTAATTTTAATGCCTGAAACCACAAAGAAGAGGTAGGAGTGAGATCTATAGATCAATAATATGCTGAAGTAAAAGCCTTTTTTAAATATAACTTTTTCCATAGGAAACGCTCCAAGAAAGTGATGCATTTGACTGTTAAAAGTTTACAGAATAATATTTTTGTCTGGAAATTTTATTTAAACATGCACAGAAAAAGACTGAATTCATATAACTTTGTCCACAGGGGGCACCAAAACCAACACCAACCCAAAGTTCTTCACAGCAGTTTAACCCCATATTTCACCCCACATTTCCAGTCTCTCTTCAGCTGTCCTATCAAATAATAGCAAATAGGCCCAAAAATGTAACTTAATTTACATGCATTGAATAATCACCTACTACTGTCGGACAAAAAAAAAAGTTGATTGTCATTATGTAGGTATGTTCTGTTTATGTCTAATATGTTTCAACTTTGTGCAAATTCAGTTGACTCAGGTCCCATGCCCCTTTAAAAGAGAAGTGGCAAAATAAAATCAAATGCACAATAAAATTTGCAAAATCCACGGAACAATAAGGAAGCTGGTTTTGCTTTGATTTATTTGATCAGGCCTCATGTGTAATTCATTTCACTAAACATCTGTTTACTTGTTGGTTGAAAAGTGCTTGAATTAATTAAGAGTTTAAATGACTTGGGCCACTTTGAAGAATGCACCATAAAGTTTTATATTCTTAAACTCTAAGGCATTCTTCACTGTAATTGCGCTGCACTATATTGTGGCAAAAGTTTATTTATCACAACTTTGTCAACCAATGAGAATAATTATCAGGCCCTGTGTCTTGGACTGATAAAAAAAACACATGCTGAGATAAAACACACAAATAAATTGCCACATGCTACTTTAAGTATAATTTACTGCATATTTTGGTGGTGTTTAATCATTTCCTTAAGAATGAGAATTGCAGTTATTACCTTTGGCCATTATATGTAATTGTTGCCATAGCTCTCTAAATCCGAGTCTTTGCATGTTCTCAAGCATTTGTGCATGTGTGTTTATTTGCATAAACGATAATGTGTCTATGTGTGTTTCTCTGTTAGGTTGTCTGTCCTAAATACACGTGTTTATAACTGAACAAACAGCCATATCTATGTGTGAGCGTGTTTGTGGGCCTATTTTTGTATTTGCAAAGGTCAGGTAGTGTGTGAATATGCATAGAGTGTCTGCATGTGAGTAAAACAAACAGAGCATGTTGGAGACGAATGTGGTGTGTCCAAAAATTGCATTTCATATCCCACAACTGCACCTCGCATTGCTGACTGACAGAGCTTCAGTACACACACAGGTGTCACCAAACACAGTCAAGAGTTGTACTGTGTGATTGGCAGAAAAATGCAATGGAGAAGTCAGTACATGATACATAATGTTTATCTCAGCTCCAAGTTAATGGTTATATAGTTGTAATGTTCACAGTCAGTCACAGCAGTCTACACGATTCTGTGTTTTTCATGGGTGTTGTGTTTGGAATTAGTCGTAATTGTTGTTGTAACTGCCACCAGCAGGGGATCGTGGTGGGTTATGAGTAACAGTCATGATATATACAGATGTTCTGACAAAAGTTTGGGTATGTGGTTCCTTCGTTCATGTGTTTGTGTGTAACATAAATGCTACTTGTCACTTAGCAACAGGTGGCTACCTAGTTAACCACCTTGCATAGTTAGCTAAAAACATTTAACAACCATTTCAAATGTCAATGCCTCTGTTTTCTATGGCATTTGTGCAGTTCACTACTGAGTTAAAACCAAATCATATTGTTTCACAGTTTGTTACTGGGCAGTTTCAAGGTCTGCTATCTCGATTGTATAAGTAGGCTATGCAAGGAATCATGGGAAAAGTGGAGCCATGCAGGATACATCTATGCAGCCTTTACAGCCCGGAAAAAGTAGGATTTGTCAGCCACATTTGGAGGAGCCTCTGAATTGGGACACAGCTATGGTGTAATTCTTTGATGTTAATATGCACTTGAATTTGTTTTGAAGGTTGCACAGTCATTGAAAAGAGAAGTCCTTTGATCATTATTTAGATCCTTCTATTTGAGTTTGGTTGCTCAGTAATCTGCTAGTAATGCCTCAGGAATCCAGTAGGGGGATCTTTTATGCTATGTGATATTTTAAAGTGAAGTAATTTAGCTGCATGGCCTCAATTAGCATTGCTAATGAAACAGTCATGCTCATACCATGAAGCTGTTGAGAAACTACTTTTATTTCTTAATTTGCCTTTGTGGGAATGTTGTTCAAGTCAAGCATAGGAAAATATGAGGAAAGTTTGTGTCTATAATTCCTTAACACTTACTTTCGAGGCAGTCACATAAACCATAGTTGTTTTAAACCATCTGCTGGTGACTTCTTAGTCCTGTTTTTAAACAGTCCTTCATCATCAATCACTGTCAAATTCCTCAAAACATGCTTTTTCAGGCCCGCCTTTGCAGAAAAACACAAAGTCCATCCCTGAGAAAGACACAACAGATTTGAAAAAAAAAACAACAGACGTACTGTAAAAACAAGAAAGAGCAAACACTAGACAAATCCCACTAAAGCTAATTCCTGCATCTCAGCTAACCACATGTTAACCCATGAAAGTCAGTCACATGACAATACAATGCCTCTTTGTGCCACTATTACCACCATGTCTTGTGAACTGACATCAATTGTTTTGACTCTGTCAGGGATCAAATGGAATCGTAATCTTGGCGTCTTGCAGAAGTCGATGCTTCGGCCTTGGAGCCAATTCAAAACATGGCTCTCCACCAAGGCGTCCCCTGCACAAGTGAGCTTTATCGAATTCCCAGCAACATTTCCCTCAATGCGTCAAAAGCAGGGTGAGATCAGAAGTAATATGCTCAGCTGTGTAGGACAGAGATCAGCTTTATACTGGTAAAAAAAAAAAAAATTAAAAAAAAAGAACAAGCACAGGGGACACAAAAAAGCCTAGATTGTATAATTTAATCAAGCATGAAAGCAGGCAATACAAAAACATTGAGGGCCAATTCAAAAACACAGTTTTTTTATCCTCTTGCGAACACAGTCCAAGTCCTAAACCTCATTGGATGTGATAGCATTGTTTTGCAGCCAAGTTTTTTTATGAGCTTTGGCCCTTCACATTGATGAGAGCATCCCTTTATAGCAGAATGGCTTGTTCTTTGCTAATGGCATTTGGTTACTCTGGTGGTAGCATGCTAGCATAACAAAAGAGAGCAGAAACCCACAAAATACTTGAGTTCTCATCGGTGGTTAAAAGTGTTTGAATGAAAGGGAAATCAAATAACTATTCACTTTCGTCAGACATCATTGAATCAAAATAAAAAAGCAGTAGAGAGAGACAATCGTTCCTTGTGCTTGTTTTTAAACCCCATCCCAGGGAACAGATGTTGCTCATTCTGCTCGGCTGTGCTGAGGAAGAGCAACCAAATCGTGCTGTTCTCAGCCCAAATAGCTCACGCACAATTACTCTGCCGGGGATCTGTGTGTGTTGGCATGTCGCTGCAGTCTCCCCCTTTGTTTTCTTAATAATTAGCTTGTGTTTTCACAGGGGCTTTCTATGTGTGTGGGGAATCCAGCTAGGCTAGGCTACTTAATGTTCTCCCTGAATCTGTCTCCCTTCCTAACCTGTCTCTTTCCCCCCCCCCTCAGTCCCCTACACAGCTTTTCCTTCCTTTCCTACCCTCTTATCTGTGTCTCTTGTAGCTCTGGGCCTGCAGGACAAATAAATGTTCAGGGTTTCTTTGCAACTTTTACTTGATCTGAGAAGTGAAATGATGAAAGTGGCACCATTTTTGCGTCATCGGCTGACTCTTCCTTGTAAGGTTTGTAAATCCCAGAGAGCATCAAAGAAGGGATTAAGGGGGTATTGGGTGGCATTCAGGGTGTATTAATATTGAATTAACTGCAGTATGCTCCTAGCTAATTCAGAATTAAAGAAAGTATAACTAACAGCATTCCTTAGCGTTATCAACATTTCTTTTAAACCTCCTGTGAGAAACTTCTTGTTTGTGGCAATTTTTCCACCAATGGACAAAGCAGTCTTTGCTCATCTTGTCCTCTACATGCTTAAGTAGTGACTTCTGACAGCTAAATTTAGCATTTATAGTGAGTATATTATATGGAAAATGTAACAAAAGGGCTTTTTCTGTAGCTTCTTGGCTGAAACCAGCCCTCTTACACTCCCACAGACTGTATGTACATGTAGAATGGACGCCATCTGCCTCCTCGCTGAGTGAAGCCTCCGGGAGAACAGCACCCTCTGGTGACGGGCTGCAGTATAGGTCATATATCCAGCCTCCTACAGCAATCCTTATCTAGGTGTGGACAAACTTAACAAATTAATTATACAGATTATAAATGTTTCTCCCCCCTGGTTGTGATGTTGACATGTAGTTACTGTAAGCCTGGTTCACACTCAAGGCCTCTTTTTTCTGTGCAGCTCCATTTTTAAAAGTTATTAGGGGTTCATGTTTTCTGTGATTGACACTTGATAAAGCCTATGGGCATATGAAGATTGCGTAGCTCAACGGGGGGTATATGATGTTTGAGCCGAACATCATTACAGTGACTTTCCCGCTAAATGTGTGCAACGCTTCTGTGCAAGTGGTGGTTCCAAGAAGTTGAGAAAATCCCGGAAATACCAAGAGCAATTCGGCCTCAAATTTGTATAATGAAGGCAGAGCCAAGTTGTCCATAGTATATACAGTCTATGCTTACATCAGTTTCCAGCAATAAAATGTACAGTAAAAAATGTGCCAGTCTTGTTGCTGATGGCCTTGTTTGCATTTGTAAACCATAAAAAGGAATAAATCTGAAATTTGTTCACTTTAATGAACCTTAAAAACTCTTTACAAGAGCTTTAGACACCCTCCACCCCCCGATTAAAAAAACTCTTTAAAAAAAGTAAAATATCAAACAAACTAAAGAGATTTTTTTTTTTCTGACTTTGTACCACGTCTTCATCCATATCTGTACCTAATGAGTTTTAAACCAGAATGACACTGTTAAACACACTAATGCTGTAAACACGTCAATCAATAGTGGCTGTGTTTGAACAGTGGTCGATATGGTCCCTGTGAGCCAATGTCCTCAATTTTCCACCTGCTCAGCCGCCTCGATCACCTTGACCCCTTAGGATTCGTTTACATGGCCTCTGTTAATTAAGCTGGACCAAGGACACACATTTGACGATACGCACGGACACAGATAAAGACACAGGCGCTCATACACACACTCAGGGGCACAGCTAGAGTCAGTTTACACAAACACACCCACACACACACACATTTGCACAGTCACATTTCACATGTTACAGAGGAAGCACTGTGAGAGGAGAGTCGACCGTTCCTTCGATCGTTCCTTGACCCTTTCGGAAATTGTCCGTAGGGACGATGAATGAGTAACTCTGCCATTTACAGCTGCTCAAGTTCACTTCAGAGAATCATTTCCTGCACAAATGTTATGAGGATGGAGATCAGTTAATGATTGAAAATAAGTAAAATAAAGGTTGTGTCAGTAGGTCTTTAAATAAAGACGTCTGTGAGGGACGCACTTCTCAGCCAAGCTTATCATGACTTATCATGACTGTAGCCAAGGGTTGGTTGTAGAAATAAAACAATGTCTGTGAAAGCCAGGTGGCTGGAAATCAACTGCTCCTGTAGAGCTGCTCAGTGTCTGACAGTACAAGACTGTGCAGAGCTGGTCCCAGGTGTGAATGCATGAACCTGTGTGAATGTGGTGTTGATGTTTATAGAAAAGACTGTGCATGCTTAGTTGACTTTGAATAAACTTTTTCTGTCACTCTAACACACACTGAAACATGACCGACTGAAAACATTCTTGTCTTGACTAGGACTCTTGCATAGAAAGTACTGCTGACAAAATACAAATATTCTCATCTGCTGCTCACTTTAAACTTTACTACAATATCTACAAAAAGAAGAAATACAAATAGAGAATGAGATCACAGGTATCACACTGGAATGATTTTCTCTTTGTTTGTCAGCATTGATGATGAGCTTAAATCCCTCCTCTATGTCAAGACTGTCCCATAAACTGTACACTACACCTACTGTCTGACTCCCAGGCTCCTTATAGCGTTGGAGATGACATCCTCCACTGCATGATTATGTGGGAAAAAAACAGCACATTGGAAAGAAGTGCCAAAAAAGACAACCTGAATTGTACATTTTAAATAAAAAAGCCAGGCTAAAGTCAAGTGTATTATTTCATGTTATACTTTGTTAATTAGCCTTCATCTGCACACAGGGATTCTTTCCCCCCATTGCCTGGGCTTTCGATGAAGCTGTGGGAATTGGGTCACACCTGCAGAGGCTGGCAGGGGTGATAAACGATGTTGCTTTAAACTTTGGAGACTGTCATTTTTGGGAGCTGCTGTTTTCCCTCCATTGAAGTATAATGGGGGCCTTTGAAGGCTAAAGCGTGGGGGACAGAGGCTACCCTCTGTCTGATATTTTGAGAGGAGGAGAAACTAGCCCTCGATTAGCTAATGACACATTCTGCTTCAATTTGCCATAATAAGACCGAGCAGGCCTCTGACATTAGCGCTGGTATTTCCTACTCTGGCTGCTTTGGAAAGTTTCTCACAGTTTTTGCTGGTCAGATCAAATAAATCAGCTTTACATATCCTGAGCAGAATTTTTCCCTCCTCAATCCACTTTTTGTGACAAAAAAAATTAAACAGATGTTCGTTTTCAAGATGTCTCCATACTTTGTTGAAGTGTAGACACATTATAGAGTGCCTCTGACCTCTGTCACTATTACTCTGACAAATACCTGGGTGCATTTTTCTCCTTCACTAAAATCTGAACAGCTCATGCTCATCAGTCATCACCTGCCCAAGAAAGCCTTTGACAGAGCTGGGGGTATCAGACACCAGAGCTACCTTTTCATGCTAGTTTGGAGAAGTCATCAGTAGGTCCTCTTACCACCTCTCTTATCAGATGAGGCTGCATTTCTGGGTGCTCCTCCTTATTTGTCTTTTAGGCCCTGAAGCCATAAAGTGACGTGAGAATGACAGTCTAGACCGCAGCTGTCTCAGTAAGAAGCATTCCAAGTCTTCGCTGTAATCTCACACACATACACACACACATGAAGTGAGAACAAAAGCCTTCAAACTCACCATTGTAGATACATACTCAAACAGCACACACACACACACACAATTATGTGGACAAGCACATGCACACACAAAAAAGCTAACTGATGTTAATCCAAGCATGCTGTGGCTGTGTATTAAATCATGACTGGCTTGCACTGCCTGCAGCAAGCAGAACGTAGAGCATCCAGTTTTTTTTATCCTTTTTTGATGGGAGTTATATATGGCTAATATCTTTCTTTGAATATCTTATACAACTGCCGTTCAAGTTTCCAGTCAACTCTCTAGATAGTGATTGTGCTTTTCATGCACACTTACTGTCATCTAAAAAAAATTCAGAGTAATTTGATATATTTCTAGTGCATTTAAGAGCCAAACAGCCAACATAATGTAATGTAAATGCACTTAAAGTTTAATATAATTTTGCATCTGCATTTTCTTGTTTGAAATATCAGATCTGTTCTTGTATAAACCAACATTTATTGTAAGTCTACAGTATGTAAGAAACTCCCTAGGCATGTGCTCAGAAAAGCATAAAAGCACATGTTGTTGACTACTTTACAAACCCAAAAGTGTCATTTTTAACTTTCATTAGCAATAAATTTTTATCTTATTCTCAGAAAACTCCTCTACACCTCCACTTTGAAATCTAGTCCTTGCCTTCAGCTAAATAACCCCAGAGGAAAAGTTGCAACCATAACAAATGAGTTGAAATAACAACCATGCAGCAACAATCTCCTCACAGCGCGGTGCATTGCGGCTGTCATTCATCACGCCACCGCAGCATAACGTGGGACTTCCACAACAATTACTTCTGCCATTAAACTCCCAGTATTGTTGTCGTTTTCTTGTGTGATAAGGGTGATTACCGGCCAAGCGAGGACTAATCTTCAACAATCTGCTCTGCGGTAGGAAGAAAAGCAAACCTCAGCTTGCCACTCAAGCTTGACCAGGGAAGAAGCCCGTACTGCTGTGTTGGACTGCCCTCCAGTGGTTGCTAGAAGGAAGTCTGGCTCTTGGTTTGACCCTTTTAATCAGTGAAATGTAAGTCTGAGTTAGGAGCCCTGCAGGAGTTCCAGCGCTGTCTGGAATCATGAGTTAGATTTCTTTTAGGAAAATACTGCATGCATAAATTTAAAAAATATACTTTTCATTTATACATTTCAAGGAAAAACTTGCAGTGTGTGAATACACAAAGTCTCTTCAATGATATGTGTATTGTAACATGTTTTCTGCTTTGATTCTGACCTCAGCTAGACATCTGAAGTCTTTGCTTTATTTAAGATTTAACAAATTAACTTATCATGACCTTTAAACTAAATTTAAGGGAAATACTGTGTGATATTCAGTCATTTCTGGCTGCATACCCCCAGCATGTCTCTTGGCCCCAACCCCAGATCTGAATTCTACCACTAAAGACATTAATCTTTAAAAAATACAATTAATACTATTTTTTAAAAGGATTTAGATTTCTGAGCTGAAAATTGGGATATTTTGCATCACTTAAGATGCAAAAAGTGTATTTGGTGGGGACTGTTTTCAGCTGTGGATTGATGTGCATTTTGTGCATTGTGGTAAGTATTCATGGCAAAATGTGTTTTACAAGAAGCTGACCAAATGTAGAGCTGACCAAATGCAAACCCTAAGAGCACATTTATTACACATTACTGTGCATTACCAGTTGTTGATTTGATTGAGCGTTTTTTTAACATAATTCTATTCAGCTCAGATCAGGTTTTGTCCACAAATTTGATCAGAAAAAATACAATCATCAAATTAAACATCAGAAGAATGGAAGTATTGTCTAATTTTGTGCTTTTTTTTTTTCCTCTTTTTTTTTTTGATAATAACTTTGAGTAATGTTGATAGTAGCGGGAGTTGTCTGGATTTAGCTTTTTGTTTACTGATGGATGCATCTAAGTCAGTCTAGCTAAACTGCTCAATTATCTCTTTATTTGATGGAGATGGAAATCTATAAAACTAGAATGATGATGTTTAACGGTTATTGGCTCCTAATGTCCAAAATCCACACATTTAGATGACATGAGTACTACTGTCTCATTAAGGATGATATCATCTGCAAAAAGTCTTTAAGTGGGTGTAAATATTAAGTAGCAGAGCATATAATCTATCCTGTTTCCCTGCAGTCCAGTCATGTACAGTATATGGACACACCACTGCTCTCACAAGCTCTTTTACTCTCTCAGGCTACATCATTCACATCATCGTAAAAAAGCGGAGGCCCTTCATCACTTTACAGTACCCAGTGCTACAGTTAGCTCCAGGCTTTCCCATCAAGGCCCACAGCCTTTCCGCCCCACGCTAGCTGTAAACCTCGGCTCTGAATGGGCAGAAGGATGAGAGGGGTTATTGATGTGCTGTAAACCCCGTTATTTTATCGAGGAAGAGAGGAAACTAGGTGTGCTGCAAGGAGAGGAGAGGAAGCACTCTGTCCATTCCCAGCAGGTGTGTCTCTTTGGAGGAGATAGTCTACATGAGTTAGTGTTTTCTTTTTATTGGGATTCCTGTAAACTGCAACAAGATTTGCAATCTGGGCAAGCATGTAAATACTATTCAATTATTGAAAAATATCTTATTCATATCAACCACTCACTCTCTGTTTTCATGATTAAGCCAGACACACTATGCCTAAGTCGCTTCTAGCATCCATATAGCCCTGTATAAATTGAGATGTATGATCCAGCAGACGTAACATTGAGAATTAGCGTCCTCTGGTAAAACAATATCTCAATATAACATGTTATATGCAATCCTATCTATCCAAAATATTCCTATAAACTTGCACACTTGTATACTAACATGAATCCTGCATTAGCTACTGTACAGAGAGTGAGAGGAGATTCAGATTTTTGTTTTACGAGACCTGGACAGCTGTCCCACTCTTCTTCAACAGCTGCTGGATCCTCCTGATACAACATAGGAGATCCCATCCTGTCTACACACTATTTCAACCTGCAACACACACTGACACACACATTCACACACACACACGTCTTCATGCATAGGTATCAACACACAGACATATGTGCACACCTGGCTTGAAAAAAAAAAAAAAAAGCAGAAAGAGAATCAAGCATCAAGTGACCTTCTACGTGCCTGTATGAGATACATATTTTACACACATACACTCACAAACACACACTATCACACACACACAGACATATACCAGTCCTATGGGCAATCATTTGTCATCCACAGAAGAATTTACAGTCATGCTCTTTACACTGAAGGCTTAGACTTGAGGCATTCCTCTGGAAATTTATGTCTAAACAGCTGTGGTCTCATCCGCCTCCGTATGGACCTTGAAGACAACGCTGTCCCAGGAATTATGAGGGGGATCCAATCCATTACACACCTCAAGTCCACCATGGAGTGTGTGTGTGTGTGTGTGTGTGTGTGTGTGTGTGTGTGTGTGTGTGTGTGTGTGAGCCATCTTCTCTGTGTCTTTGTGTATCCCTTTTGCATGTGTACTGGTGAGCGTGTTTCTGCTCTCTCAGTGTGCTCACAGCTGGCTAACCCCCTCTCTATGTATGTGTGCGCGTTTAAGTTTAAGATTGACGGATGGCTTTGCATTCAGCTCTTTGATGACTGAACGGTTATCCTGCGGCTTTATGCATCGGAAGCCTGTAGTTTAAAGAGGGAAGCCCTGATTTCACATTGCAGCCATATGGACTGCTATGTTTCCCTGTTAAAGTGAGGTCAACATCAGAGGTAAACACCAGGCCACAGTAATAGATGAGGTCTTTGAATGGTCACAGATTCAGCAACACAGTGACATCATCACAAAGCTGGTTGGCACATGGGGGAAAGAGGATGAATAATCCCTGTTAATGTGGCTGTTAAATTTTCTAAGCTTTATTCATCAATTGAAGACATTTGTAAGTAACTTCCTCGGCTACACAATCACTGCGACTTCTAGCTTAAAAGATGGTAGTCCTTCCCCTGGATTTGAACCCCTAACCCCACACGCCCAAAAAAGATTTTCTGTTTTCTTTCCTAATAGTTCATTTAAAGCTGATAGATGGTAGGCCAGCCCCAGCTCATTCAGCAAGGAGTGTTGCTGCGCTGTTATTTTTTTCTCTCTACAGATTGAACACACTGGCAGTGGGAGAAGTTAGCGTAAAGAATGGAAACTCAATAAAGTGTGTTGATGATGTGATGTGTTAAGCAAGGAGAGTTCAAGGCCTTGCACTCTGCGTGTTTTCAGCATGTCGTAATTTTCTTATACCCCCAAAGCCCATTGGGATGTACAGTATGTAGAGGAGAGAGGAAGGGTAAAAGAGAAAGACGTTATGAAAGGGGCATTAAGAGTTCGTGTTCATCAGGATGTAAAAATGAGATAAAACTTCCTTGTGTCAGACTGATTCTAGATAATCTTAAATGCTTGTTGTAAGATTTCTTCATCAATGTAGGGTGCAACAGAAAAACTGCAGCTTAAACCAAAACAATGGGATTGTAGATAGGTGTTTATAGCCCAGTGAGCTACTTCTTCAGATTTTTTTTCTTGTTAAATTGTTTGAAAACGATCATTCCACATTTTCAAATTTCACTAAGAGCAGTCAAGTTTATCTATCTGGAGTGTTAGAGATAAAAATAAAGTAGATCTAACATCGACTTCAGTTGGACATCCTGATGGTGTGCCCTCCAGTCTCACCAGCTGACTCTCTTAAGATAAGAGTTATTTGTGTTGGCTCTGTAAAGTGAGGGCTAAATAAAAGGAAAACATTGATATGGCCGTCATCAGCAGCTCTGACAGCAGGGCCAAAGTTAACAGGAAATGGCACAAATGACTGCATGGAACTTTTGGATCATCAGGCAGAATAAAGCTACATATATGTCCGTCACTCCCTCACTGAAAGCTCAGCCTGTCCCTGAAGGCCTGTAGGCTCTCATAACGGGTGATCTACAGCGGGATTTAAAATCATAACATTGTCCCCACTACTGGGATTACCTGCGACAAACCTGGCAGTTTAGAAAAGGAAAACAGCTGTCAGAAATTCGTGGATCTTTCTTTTGTTTATTCAACATTTGACTGAAAGGACCTTTGTCAAAGATGTGAAAAGCCACCTTGCTTCCAAACCAGTTTGATTTTGAAATGTTAATTTTGACTTTCTTGTCACGTCACTGTGGCCATTTTTATTCCTTAAGGTGTACTGAAGATATGAAACAGACAAAAACAAAGTAAGGGCTTTTTTTTTTTTTTTAAGGTGTTTGAGTTTTTTTGGAAGTTGGGAAAACAAAGGCCATTTCCTCATTTCTGATATATATGTATTTTTTCTGACATGAAACTATACTTTCACACCCTGTCAGAAATCTCATTTGTATTATCTGTCCAACTCAAACTACATGATTTTGTGTTGAACATATGTAGTACTCTGAGCAGGTAAATGCAGTCAACTTTATGGAGTTCGAAGAGTCTAAAAAGATGACTGCCTCTACCTTGTTTTTGCCTGAGGTGGTCATTTGGTCTGATGCCTTTCACCCCATGTAATATAAACTTCCTCACCACACTGTTCACAAACAGCATAAATAAACAACCACAGGGACAAACCCGGGTTTGGAGCTTGTTAGGGCGCACGATTTCAACATGAGTTTGTTTGTTCAAATTTGCTCGCACAGTGACCTAACTCCTTCATACCAAGCACATGTGGGGAAGAGGGCGTAGGAGGGGGAACATTACAGGGAAGAAAGGGGAAGGGGGGGAAAGTGGAAAAATCCATATTTTTCCAATATGCAGAAGGGGTTGTTCATCAGGCACAGTTTGACACATGTCTTTGAACAGTTTGAAACAACAACCTCGCTGAAAAAAAAAAGTCTAGAGTAGGGTGGTTTGGCTAAACAAATGTCATTTTTGGATGTTGCTACAGGGAGGATGAGAAAAGGCAAGATGATGAAAGGAATGAAAAAATACATTCCTGAGAATCTAACTCACTGCCTCAGTGTTTCCTGGGCTTGATTAGAGGGATGCAGTGACTTGCAGCAACATTAAGATAAAGATCTCAGCTGTCCAGAAGGCATTACGGAAAGGAAGCAATATAGATGTCTTTATGAAATGTGACATTGGTTTTTATGAAAGGAAGTCTCATTACCATTTACGCTTATTCTGTGCAGCCATGCAGCCATGAAGCCAAGGCCCTGTTAGTGAAATCACAAAAGACCATACTGTTCACTCAAAAGGTCACAGGTTTGTCCATAATGAATTTAACTTGATTTCTGTGAAGTTCTTAAAGGCAACTTGTCCTAAACAGACTGAAGCTTTTTGTTAATACTACATGCTATATAATTTTATAATTTCAGAGCAACTCTACAATACAGTGTCTTTGATGCAATATGTCAAATACGCCACTAAATGACCTGTGATTTCAGACTTGTTGGTTGATAGTGAATAGAATCCAATTATAATCACCTTTCAAGCTTTCCAACCACTCGAAATGCTTGACCCTACGTGACAGATTTGTTCACACACAAGCTACAATGAATAACCCCCGGAACTGGAACAGCTTAGGGTCAAGTATTTCGTCACAGGAGGAGTCGTGGCAGAGAAAAAAAAATTAAAAAGCACAATACCTGGATACGCTGGAGTTCAGTTTTGAGACATATGTACTTTGAAAGCACATCCTCACTCTCTGACCCAAATAGCCCGACTCTTCAGGATAATAGCATTTACAATACAAGCGCAAATACAGATAAATATTCAGTTACATTCAAATGAAGGCATTATGAAAACATACTCTTCTTTTAACAACTTCAATTTTGCTGTATCTGTTCATATAATCTAAATCCATTTTAAATCCTGTTTCAGCAAATCAGTGCTGCAAACTTACTGCAGTCCAGACTACATAACAGGTAGTCTTAGTATGCTTATATGCAGCTCAGAAGCATTACTTTATATATGGCTCACTAAAGGTTTAAGTCCTGGATTTGTCCAGAGGAATCCCACCCCTGTTGTATTTCTGCTGTGCTTGGTGTCACATGGATCAATACTCTATCGAAAAAGCATGTCTATGCGGGATACTGCAACTCAACTGCTGAATGATTTAGAAAGATGGACATTTACTGGCAAACCCTAGTCACAGACAAAAATCTGTTAATAATATTATGAGAATGCTGATGTGTTGTAGAATCTCAACAAGCCATAACACGTGGACTTTTCCAGCTGTCGGATCCAAATATGAAAAAGACCTACAGAGGAGCTCTGGCAGCTTCATCAAACTGATGTACATCTGAGTTGAATGTCTGATTTATCTAAGGTGAAATAAAAAGAAGAAAAGAAAAGAGGAGTGTAATTCACATCATTTTAGTAACTATTTTCATGCAGATAATTCTGTATACCAACAAATTTGATCAATACAATGTTAAACATGTGGCCAGGTTGTAAAAACAGGCAGACTGCAAAAAAAAAAAGATTCATAGAATCATTTTCAAAAGACAGAGAGACAGCTTTAATTCATTTAACTGAGAAAATGATTCAAACAAACCCAACAACAGATTCCCATGACTGCTTCCTTTGCTATGATCTTGAGCAGAAGTTTTTCATACAACACCTGGGAAGCTTGAGAAGAATGACAAATAGTCCTTTCTTTCTTGTAACTAAAGCGTCATCTCTGAGAGTGTGGCAAGTTGTGTTGATGGGTGAGCAACCAAAAAATAAATGGTAATGTGTATTTTGCCTTATGTCTGCATTGTCTTTGAGTCTTCAGAACACTGCCTTTAGGAGAGGCTTTGTTCCACTGTAAGCAAATAAAAAATTGGGTTTTTTGTCCTGAAAAAAAGCCACAAAATTCAGCTGAACCACACAGTGCAGCTAACATTTTAGCTCAGCTCTGCTTCGGACGTTTCATCTGTGGGCTATCAGATGAACTGTTAGCTGCTTTCTTCAATGCACCTTTTTTTCTGGAGTCTTTCTCATCTGCTTCATAGAGAGCATTCCTAACAAAGCGGGCAGCAGCTCCCTTATCCAGGCGAGCAGCTTTCTTCTTGTCTGTGATCTCTTTCACTCTGTTCATGTAAGTCCTTATTCGTTCCTGAAGAACAAAAAGAGGCACAGATGGTTTAGCAAAACTCTTAAATATAATGAACAAAAATTTTAAGCGATGTCATATACTTACCAACTCCTGTTTTATTCCATGTTCTCTTGGATTTACTCCTTGAACAACCAAGTACACTGTAACCAAAAACAACATCCCAGCTTAAATAAGTTATCCGGGAAACATAAAGACCCCAAAATGCTATAATATTGTCTGATTGATTATGTGGAAAACTATGTGATGAAAGGTAAACAGAGAAGGAGAATGGTCCAGAGTGAAACACATTTGTTAGTGGTGTTTTAACATAACTTTGGTTGGACTGTGAGGTTAAATAAACTACTGAAAACAAATAGACTGGCTTCTGATAAGCTGTGCATTAGGCTTTTTGCTTGACTATGACCTAACATATACTGATTTAATATCTCCTGTCTGGCAATCCCTAATATGCTAAGACCACATAACTTAGTATTCTGCAGCATGCTGATCTACAAACTGAAGCACAAGTAAAACACTCCAAAACCACTGAGGGTTTTATCGCCATAACTACATCAACCCTGTGCTGCTCAATTGAAACCAGAAAAATACTCACTCCAGAATAATGAATTCAGGGTGTAGGCTGACATCAGATCCAGCTTGGCTTGATCCAAAGGGTCCAGCTGTAAATGAATCCAATTTAGTTCAATTCCACCTGTTTTTATCAAAAATATCAAACTCATATGCTCGTAAAAATGTTCCTACTGGAGTATGTTATAAAATGCAGTATCCAAAATGTGAAGAGTAAAATTTCCTGATTGTTCCTAACTATGGCTCACATTGAGAACAATAAATATTAAGGATGATACCTGTCACTCTATTAGTACTCAATGCTAACTTCTGAGTAGGCTTGAATGGTTGTTTGTCATAATGCAAGCCAGCCCTCCAGCCCTTTAACACCACTGTCCAGGTGCGCTCAAAACCAACCCACTGTGATTTTTATGAGGTTTCAGCGCAAGGCAAGTTTAGCATTGTAGACATTCCTTTAAAATACAAGATAACCCTGTTTTTTGAAGCAGGCGCACCATGTCTCATATGTTCGAGGCGGATTATTTTGATACCTCTGGCCAACTTTTGTCTCTCATGTCGACACAACAAATCGTATTAGTATCAGAGTAATTATTTAATCAAGTAATTCATATCAGGGAGGGATTATTACTTTTCTTATTAAGTGATCTCATTCCTGGCATGCTCGTCTACACTTTGTTTTACCTTTTGCTGCAGCTCATTTCTGGGCATCGACATGAGCTTCTCCAGCATGGTCTGCACAACTGAGACTGAAGTGTTAAAGCCCGTAAGCTGCTCGTCTATTTCGTGAGGGTAGTCATCACTCCTGGGGTCCCCTTCCATTTCTTTATGTAAAAGAAGTATTGATAAAATGTTATTTATCTGTACAATAATGTAGCGAGAGTGTAGATTGTCAACAAATTTCCATTTAGATTGGGAGGAAAAGCTAGTCAGCTTACTAAAATAGCGTACACATGCAGCCAACAAGCTAAATCAAACACGTTAAAATAATGTGCGTTCTACAAACCATTAGTTAAAAAAAATCAGAATAACCACAAGGCGATACTTGCTCACCTAAAGACGAAGTTAATGTCCGTTTGCGTTTGTTTTTGCCTTGGACAAACCTTATTTTAATACTCGAACGCGACACGCTTTAGCCGACAGGAAATGACGTAATCGTCAGACTTCTTCGCCATTTTCAGTTTTCACGGTTCTTTACTGCCGTCTACTGTTCGGAAGAGTAACAGGAGCTGCTGTTGCACTTCAAATTAAAAACTACATTTTTATTAATTATTAATAAACGGTAACAGTTTTAATCTTTTATAGTATGAAATCGACGTTCGCAGCAGTCTTATTCTGTCGCTTTATTTGAGCAGATTTCGCAGTTTTTGCATCGTCTTCACTTGTAAGTATGGGCTTTGTCAAACTATAATAAAACACAGTTTTTATGGCATGAAACCGCAAGACGACGGATTATTTTGCTTAAAATACGTCAACTGGTACGGTAGTATAACGTAAAGTGTGTTCACGTTACTATGGAAACCCTGGGCGTCAGCGCAGTAACTGAAGCTGAGTGTGTGTGCTGAGAGCTGAGGATGTAACACAATAATTGAAATGCCTTTGGGACTTGGACCGGACATTAAAGTGAACCTCGCCGTGAAGAGGATATAAGTCATGGACAACTGTGATTTGGAGAAGCTCAGTGTCTCCGGAGGGGAGCTCCAACCAGCCTTCACACCAGAAGTCACAGAGTATAAAGTGACGTTAGAGAGCCATGTCAACAATGTGACCCTGGACCTGGTCACTAGTGATTGCGGGGCTTCGTATAGTATTGTAAGTACTTCCTGTGTGATTTATAACATCTGGTATCTGGTATGAATTCAAAGAAAGTGTATAAGCTTGCACTTCCTCTTTTATTTACACTGTAATTTCAGCTCTTTGGTAACGGCTCCAGCACCATTAAACTACGTGATGGGTTAAACAGAGTGGAGGTTGAGGTAGTGGCTGAGGATGGGACCATAAAGAAGTACTGTGTGGAAATCACCAGGCTGTCTGCAAAGATAGCACAACTCAGTGATCTGGACTTGGAAGGAGATATAAAACTGCAGCCTTCTTTTTGTGCAAAAATCTATGAATACAACTGTGAGTAAAGAGACTTCATTAGACACAGTCGCCAAGTTATATAGTCTGACTGAGTGAGGCTTACTAAGTCAGCTGAACAAGATTCTTTTTTGAGGAAATAATAACTCAAATGTACTGTATCATTGTTATAATACACAAAATATATATTTATTTCTTTTTTTATAAGCATTGAATCATTACATCTATGTTTTGGATACTTTTCTTTGGGTTCTTAATTGCTGCTGTTTCTTCTGCTCTTCTTTTTTTTCTGCAGGTAATGTTCCTTTTTACAATGAGGCAGTTACTGTGCTTGTCAAAGTGCCAGACAAAAATATGAAAGTTACAGTGAATGGAGAAAAAGACTCTCAACCTCTCCTTCTGAATGTTGGTGATACTCTGGTGGAGATCTCAGTCTGTTCAGCAGATGGCAGTAAATCACAGGTACGTTTAAGTGTACTCCTCAGTGTGTTTTAAGGCTTTAAATACAGTGTGTTATAATTATAAAAAAAAAAAAAAGTATTGCAACAAACCAGCTTTTAAGTTGACCTTACTTTTAACTTTTTGCTTAAAAGCTAATTTAAAATCATTTTACACCAAGCTTTGATTTTCTCTTTGGTTTGTGTTCAAATGTTATGAATAATTATTGCTCAAGTAAATATTAAGTTACAGTAGAGCTGTTTCTGCCATATCAGTGGATATAATGCTGTGCTGCACTGTTTACTTCTGCTAACTACTTTTTTGAAAGCCACTAATCCTAATGTCCTGAAACACGCCCAGGTGTACACAGTGTTGGTGATTCGAGAGCTGAATCCTATGGCTGTGGCCTTCAGTGATGAGAAAGAACAGCTGGACTATGAATGCCCAGTATCTCTGTCTGCTTTTTATAGACCTGTATCCATCAACAACAGGTACATTTTGCTCTAAATGTCAGAGAATATTATCAGTTGTGCCAAAAGATTGCAGTTTTATCTTATTTGGGAGCATTGCAGAATATTTTATTTCAAAGCTAGGGTCACACAGCTCATAGAACTGTGAAATTAGAATCTAAAATAAAAGAATTTAACATACATCAGTTTAAGCATGCACAATCTAAGTTTGCCAATGAAAAAAAGCCTTTCTTTGTTTTTTGATTCAGGGCATCAGTTGGTCTTTGGAGATATAGCAATTGAAATTTAACATTTTGGACTTGATGTTAAATAACTATATTTTACCAAGTGTCTAACTTCAGTATCATAGATGGCTAGCATCTTGTTTTATCAGTTCACTAGAGCTATCAGTGTCATGCAGGTTCTCCTCTTCATTTGCAGCAACCCGAAGCACATCTTTTCGAGGCCTTATATTGAGATGCTTGCACGGAGATCAAAAGTTGACCCACTCAGCTCATGCACTCTGGGAGAAGGCTGGAAGGTTGTTGAGCTGGACCTTGATAAGAAGATGTCAGCTGCTCTGGTCAAGTGTTTCTTTACTTACAGAGGTGAAACTCAGGTCCTCACTCCTCATATTGATTTGTGTGAAACTGAGCTACTGCTGGGGCAAAGCCTGTACTTGTTGAGTTAAAGGTCAGTTGGTCAAATAATAGACCCCAGTCTTTGAGAAAAAGGCTTGCTCACATCCATAAAACAAGGCAATAAAAAATAAGCTATTTCACTGCTGTCAAAGGGTCTCTCTAGCACTGTTTCACAGTTAACTGTCCCTCAGAGTAACGCCTTCTTTTATTTCATCACTATTAATATAAACTGAATTATTTCTTATTCTAGAGCAACTCTACCTAAGACTGCTTCTCACCTTCACCATCAATATACTGGATACACCCTGCCTTACCTTTCTCAGCAGTCCTGATTACACTGGCTATACTATCACGTAACATGATGATACTGTGGACAACTATTATGTCGCTGTAATGAGAGGGATACTATTACTTAACTAAGGCTTCATGTATCTAGCTCCTGTGTGAGTTTTATGTAAGCCCTCTTCGAATTCAGCTGGATTTGCCTACTGGTCAAACAAGTACACCAAGGTAGTTCTGCAGATTGTTACTATGTATAACATTGTATTGGACAACAATTAATAGTAGTCTTCGATGCTAAATTAAATTTTATTTGCCCTAACTTAGTTTGCTCAATTGCCAGTGTTTGTAAGAAAAGCACTTTGATTTAAATGTGTAAAAAGACATTGTTAGTTTTGGGCAACATGAATGGACATATGAGTACACCTCTACTCTTTTTTTCATTTCCCTTTTCTAAACAAAGGATGTGACTGTGTCATGAAGCTGTCTGAGCTAGGATCACACTGCCTACACTGTCCCCACAGGCCCACAGGGGACCTGGATGCAAAGGTCAGTGTTAAAGATTTAAAAGTGTCTTGCATTGCCAGAATCATTGCTATCGACCTTGACTCTGCTCATCCTTTATTCACAAGACAGCGCTCCCAACACAGAGACAACGTGTCGGATCAGTTCTCACAAAGTATACATTGCTGATGCATATAACACATACAAGAGTCAATAAAGCAGTATGATTGTAAACAATAAATGTTTTTATGAATTGGCAAAGGTGTAACCCAAGCTTTTAAACTTAACAGATTCACCAGGTTTGTCCACACAGAAGCTTTGATCCTTTATTGATCAAACCTGATATATGTATTTCCTCTCTGCCCCTGATTCCCCCTTTCCTGATGTTTGTTTCCAGGATGTCACAGAGACAAGTTGGTATAAGCAGCACTTTGCATCATCAAGTTGTTTGGAGGTAGAAACAAAACATCATTTTGAGGTAATACATTTATGTTCTTGGCATTGTCAGATTGTAATCGTGGATCACTCAAATAACTTCAATACCATTTAATAAAACAAGATCACATCTGTTTCCCTGCTTGGTCTGTTGTACTGTTTTGGAAAATAATAATTTTCTTTGTCCACCAAAGTTGCGTAGTTGGGAGGAAAGACTGCAAATGAAAGCGGGAGAAGACAATGTGGAGAAATTGTGTGCCCTTGCCCAGGATCACATGAAACTCTATTGGCAGAACCTACCCAAACCAGGTGTGTAGCACCTCCCAAACCAACCAGTTCTCCAGTACACTCTCCTCTGACCTTATAGAAAAATCACCATGCTCCTTTCTTATTTTATTTCTTTTTTTTTTTTAATACAAGTTTTTATTGAACTTTTCAAGGCTCAGTACATGGCAAACTTATGATTAAGAGTTAACCATGACAGCCTTCGCACATTTTTTGTCTCTAAAAGGGCAAAAAAAAAAAAATGTGAGTACATAATAATATAAACTAAACATCATATCTGTACACACACTCACACCATAAAGACATGTTACAGTATTACCAGATTTCCCCTGGTGGAAGTACAACGAAACAAGAAAACCAGAGTCCTGAATCCTCGTGGGGGTTATTATTTACCTTTATGTAGTTATGCACCTTTCTTTAAAGTTTAAAACCATAGTAACAAAGCAGGTACCGTGATGGGAGTCTTTTTTATATATATATTTTTATTCTCCTCACTGTTAAATTGTGTGCAGTATAATATTTACTCATAAAATACTTCTTAGGCTGTCTTTAATACTATCTAATTTGACAGTAAGTTTGGGGACTTCTGTTTTGCACTCACTAAACAATAAACAGCTGCATACTGAAAATTAACTTTAGGCGACAATACAAAAGAGTAGTTTCTCTCACCCTATGTCAGCACAGCGGCTCAACTCCAGCCATTAAAAAATACATGAAAAGGGGCGAGTTTGCAGTCTCCCCAGAGCATCTCCCTCTATCTGGCGTGCCAGGCACTCATGTTACTCCTCATCTTTTTTCAGCTACTTGTGCCCTGCTAATTGTTTGATGACTCTAAGAAGCGACACATGAGACTGTTCCTAGAGGACTGAATGAAAGTCACAGGAACTAAATGAAATAATGACAGCACAGGGTGAATCAGAGAGAAAATAAGTTGATAAAGGAAAGGTACAGTTGATTTTCATCTCACTAAATAACATATTCTGTCACTTAATCAGGGTACATTTACTCCATGCAACAAGTTGGAATCAAATGTATATTACTTATAATAAATAAGAGGAAAAAAATAACATTGACTGTGGTTATGAGGTAAACAGCTTTTTTTCTGTTTGTTTTGTATACTGTTCAATTGACAAACTAGGACAACAGTACACTGTGACAGATAAATGAGCACTCCTGCATAAGAAAGCTGAACTCAATTAATATTTCATGCAAAAAGCACATGCAGTCATTTGTAACTGAAAAAAAGAAAGAAAGAAAGGAGTTAAACTTGAGATGCTTTTAATCTTCATTACGTAGTTAACTGATGTTATGTACTGGAATGGAGCAGAAACACTTTTTCAAACAGCAGCATATCAGAGTCTTTCAGAGGAGGGAGGAAAGGAACTGTTAATGCTGCTGTTTCTGATTTCTCATTAACAGTTACCCATGCAACAAATTTTGTAATGTTTTGAACAAATTGAAAATAAAATACTTTTTCTATGTACACATAAGACTTTTTTCTCTCAAATATTGTTGACAAATTTGTCTAAATCTGTGTTAGTGAACACTTCTCCTTTACTGAGATAATCCATCCACCTCACAGGTGTGGCATATCAAGATGCTGATTAGACAGCACGACACAGGTGTGCCTTAGACTGGCCATGATAAAAGGCCACTCTAAAAGGTACTGTTTTACTGTATTGGGGGCGTACGGTGGGATAGATAACCAGTCAGTATCTGGTGTGACTACCATTTGCCTCATGCAGTGCAACACATCTCCTTCACATAGTTAATCAGGTTGTTGATTGTGGTCTGTGGAGTGTTGGTCCACTCCTCTTTAGTGGCTGTGCGAAGTTGCTGGATATTGGCAGGAACTGGAACGTGTTGTCGTATACACCGATCCAGAGCATCCCAAACATTCTCAATGGGTGACATGTCCAGTGAATATGCTGGCCATGCAAGAACTGATTTGTAACTGATTTGTAACTGATTTTGTAATTTGTAACTGATTTGGAGGCGGCTTATGGTAGAGAGATAAACATTCAGTTCACGGACAACAGCTCTGGTAGACATTCCTACAGTCAGCATGCCAATCACACACTCCCTCAAAACTTGTGACACCTCTGGCATAGTGCTGTGTGATAAAATTGCACCTTTCATTGCAGTCTGTCTAAGGCAGTGGTTCTCAAGTCCAGTCCTCGAGGCCCACTGCCCTGCATGTTTTGGATGTTTCCCTGCTCCAACACATCTGATTCAAATGATCAGCTCGTTATCAAGCTCTGTAATGGCTTAATAATGAGCTGATCAGGTGCTCTAAGGCACACCTGTGCAATAATCATTCTGTCTAACCAGCTTCTTGTTATGCCACACCTGTGAGGTGGATGGATTATCTTGGCAAAGGAGAAGTGTTCACTAACACAGATTTAGACAAATTTGTCAACCGCATTTGAGAGAAATACTGTAGGTCTTTAGTGTACATAGAAAAAAGTCTTAAATATTTGAGTTCAGTTCATGAAAAATGGGAGCAAAAACAAAGTGTAAGTGTAAGATTGTCTGAAACTGGAAAGGCATCATGATAATATTTAACGCCGTGGTCTAGTGTTTGTCTAAGTTTTAAGCCTTTCGAAAAAAGAAAAATCCTTGTGGGTTACAGATTTTGCAACTTCTTTTTAAAGCAGAAAAGTAAAGCATTTATCTGTTTGCACTGTAAATGAGTGCTGCAGTCTTACTTTAGTGGTCAGTAGAAAAACAAATGAAGTCGGTTTGTCAAAAATGTTTTTCCTTCCAGATTTCTAGCTTTTATTTTTTTATTCAGAACAATCCCTCACTACACCCTCTCTTGAATTGATTTTTTTTCTTGATGAATGTATTAGCTAAGATTTGAGATTTTGCAGGGTTTTATACATGCCACCAATTAACTGGTGGTCAGAAAATTCTGATAAAGTGGCATTGCAGTGACACTGATGATAAACTCCTTTTACAACAGCTTTTCCCACTCAATTTAGCTCAGACATCTCAAGATGAGTTGAGACTGGCTCGTACATTACTGATATTATAATCAGATAGTCATGACAGACCCACTGTGTTCAGCCAAGGCCTTCATTCTGTGAAGCAACTATAAACCTCAATCTGTTGTTTCATGCATTAAAATCAAGAAACAACAGGAGTCCAGAGTAGTTGTGTAATGTCTGTTTACCATATACCACTCTATTTATTTTTGTAACATCCACAGGGGACATTTTGCAGTATGAGGAAGGTCAGTATCCTCTGTATAGCCTGGAGCAGGCTGCCGTTCACCATGCGTCAGCCATCAGACTCAGCCCCAGAGATCCAAGACTTCACTTTCTTCTGGGTGTCGTTCTGGAGGAGCAGCACTATGCAAAGACGATGTATGGCCTCCAGAAGAAGGTTGTGACTGGAAATGTTTTGAAGAAAGTGCACGTCCTTTCAGTGATTCCCAGAGATTTTGATAGATCATTTATGGTTGTGATTATTCTAAGCCCCCACACTCTTGAACAAACTATTAGACTGTACAGTATGTAAAATATGTCTCATAAAGGTGACGTTATAGAAACTTGTGGGGGGGGGAAATGAGGTTGAGATATCAGGAGCACACACTTTTTCAGACACTGTTTCCATAACTCAGATTTGCTTTTGAAATTCATATTGTTTGACATATGACAACTGTAAAGATCTGTTTATCAAGTCTAAGAAAGCTTTGATTGATATAATGGTACTGTCATACATGGACCACAACCATTGCCATAGTTTTCATCAATGTGAAAACAAAGAGAGGCAACCCAACCTGTATTCTTTTCCTTCTCCCATCTCCAGAATGACAGAGACAGAGATGAAATAAGTGACGCCAAATCAACAGCACGTCAGGACGACATCCTGGCAGTCTGCAAGCTCCATGGTTTTTTGGGCACACCAACAGTCCAGAACCAGCTACAGGCTTTGGATAAAGAGTACCAGCAGCTCAGAGAGCAGGGGCAGTCCAGCAGAGCAGATTATGTTCAGACGCTTTACATCTGGCTCTCCAAGAAAACTGGAAAAGTAACTTCTGACAATGTTTTTAAGCTGCTAAGCTTTGTGTTTACTTTGTCTGCTATAATCAAAACCACTTGTGAAAACCTGTCAAAGAATCTGAATGGTGGGATACTTTTCTTCAGATTTAGCTTTCCTGACTTTTTACAGGCTGTTAGTTTTGACATACAAAATGTCAAAATAAAAAAAGGGAGCAAAAGTTCATCCAAACTATACTGATCACATATCAAGTGCAATCAATACACTTGAAGCTTTAGTGTTCTTTAAGGTTGAGCTTAAAGAACACTAAAGCTTTCTTTTCTATAGCTTTTTTTTCTAAAGTGTTCTTTTAGGTAGTGATGAGAAAAATAATTAAAGGCCAGTATAAATGTTCAGGTTCTGTCTCTGTCTTTGCAGACAATCTAGTTAGCTCCTTTTCTTTTGGACTGCCAGGGCAGTGCCCTCCAATCATTTCCTTCTACCAGAAGACCTGCTGTATGTCTGACTAATAGGATAGCTATCTTACCCTATCTGCAAACTGTTCATCCTGCTCTAAGTCTACACACTTAAAAAGACAATCTTTCTTTGCTCTATACTCCTTAGACTTCTAAGGGTCAAACCAAAACTAATTATAGTCACTTTAATCATTTTACAAATTAAGAGGAATTTTGAACAGCTGATAATTACTCAATTTTTGCTATCAATAGCTTTGTGACCTCTTTCGAAATGGAGCACTAAAATCATCATCGGTCGCATTTATTTAAAGCTACTGTGAGAAACTTTCATTTTGTGTTGCTCTTGTGCCTAGCATCTCCTGATGTTGTCCACTACACTGTATTATTTTCCCTTAAAAAGTCGTGCTACCTTCTTTTAATGTCCATCCGCTCTTACTAGAAGGATAGCAGTGCAGCAGTGCAAGATGAAGAAAGCTATGTTCATCGAGCGCTGATCAAGTACCTGGATGCCTGGTCTCTAAATCATGACAGCTGGGAGTATAACCTGCATGTAGGGAGACTGCTGCTGCTTCAGGGGAGGAGCAGGGAGGCCCTGCAGCACCTGCAGAGCAGCTTGGCACTCCGCCCCCTGCTTCCTGCTCTCAGGTCAGGTCATGGAAGTACTGTTGATCATATAAGTAGATATAATATGTTGAAATGATTCAAAATGAATGTTAGTTGAGGACCTTACACTTTATATGACTGATAGACAACTCTTGGTATATAACAGAAGAGAAAAAGTCAAATTTGTGGCAAAGCCATGATGTGTCTGACAAGTGATCAAACTTGAAACTGTTTCAAATACTCACAGACAGCCAATAACAAAAAAAAAACAGCTGTTTGCAAAGTACATATTTAGCTTCTTTTAAAATCTGAACCTAGCTTGTCTTACTCTTTAAATGTCCAACCTTACTGCTATCATTGTTGGACATCATGTCATTGTAACAGGAAATAAAAAAAAGCAGGGAGAATGAAGTAACACAGGTGAGGTGAGGCCTGGGGGTTCAACAGGAGTTTTTTGTCTCTCTCGCTCTCTCCTTCTGCATCTCCCTCTATCCTCTCACTCAACCCAGTGTAGCAGTGGCTGATGACTGTCTGACATGAGTCTGGTTCTGCTCAAGGTTTCTGCCTGTTAGAAGGAAGTCTTTCCCTGCCCCAGTTACCTGCTAAATGCTGCTATGTGTTACACTCTGGGTCTGATCTTACAAGATGGAGTTGAGTCTTATCCCATCTTTACATAGGGCCTTTATAAATATCATTAAGAGTATTGTCCAGACCCTTTTTTTCTTGTTAAATGTCTTGGTATAACACTTGTTGTGAATTGGGACTATATACATCAAGATTAATAAAAGATTAAACAAGGAAAACTGGGTCTTTATTCAAATGTTGAAATCAAAGAATCAGAGCTACTTTTTGGTCTTAACACCTCTCCTTTATTTCTTTTGTTTTTCCAGATTCTTCACTGGGTTGGCTCTGCTGCAGCAGGAACAGAAAGCCTCTGAGGAAACAGAGAAGGAGGCCGCTGTGTTCTTACAGCAGGGACTGGAGCACTTTATCAGCCAGCGCTGCAGCAAGAGGTTGTGTGTGTGTGTCTGTATTTGTGTGAAAGGAGGTGGATGCGTTTAGCTAGATAAAGAGAGTGTGCAGGCATGACAGAAAAGTATTGAACTAGTATGTTTTTTTTCATAGATTAGTTAATAAAGACAGTCTTCTTGTGCAGGTTTCTCCTGCTGTATCATGAATATAGTACTTGTATCTGTTCAAGGTCACATTTCAGCTCAAAGTAGAACAGTACATTTCTTCTGTGATTTCATCGTGCTCATTGTTGCTTGTGTTTCTTATGTTTATGTCATTTCTGCTACAGCTGGATACAACAGGATCCTTCAGACCCTCTTTCCAGCCTCAGCACACAGTTTCTGCGAGGACTTCTCACTCTGGGTCATCTGCAGCAGAGAAATACTCTTCCTGAAAAGGCCATGAGTGCAGAACAGGTCTATCACATGTGAGTTTCAATCCAGGAAGTTAGTTTAAAATAAATTGTGAGAGATTTTGTAAATCGGTGATATTGCCCCTTTGTGCGAGTGTGATATCTTACAAGTAGCTGTAGCTGTCAAATTCATCTCAAATGTGTGATTCAAAGAAAAAAATCTCAATATTCACACCAGTATGACCCAGTTTAAGTCCTGAGCTTTACACAAAAACGCTGTGTCCTCTTGTCTCTGTGCTGGAATTCTTCAGTGTAGCAGTGTTGGCTGCCCAGAGTGTGAGTCACTGTGTGTGTCGTGGTGAGACGAGCGGGCAGCTGGAGTGGGTGCTCTTGGATTCTCACTTTGCCTTGCTGCAGAGGCTGATCCAGCAAGGTGAAGGCCAGGCCAGAGCTGGCACCCATAGGCAATCCCTGGTGGCAAAGCGATGCCAGGCCCTGACTGCTCTCATACAGCTCACAACTATCACTCCCTGCCAGGAGCTGCTGGACATGCAAGAGAAGGTGAAAGAGGAAATCTTGTTCTTGAACAGTTTGTTCAAGTACAAATGCCTTTTCTGTTGTGCAAAGTTGACAGTACTTCAGAGCTCTGCTAAACTTTAGGTCTGCCTCCTCTACTGATATGTACAGGTATGCCAGCTAGCAGTAGTGACCACACCGCGGGACAGCCACGCTCTTTGTCTCTTGGGTCTTGCGCAGCTGGTTCAATATGACAACAACCCAAATTCGGACAGGTCCAAAGATGTACTAAGTGATGCCTGCCTCAGCTTCCAGGCCAGCATTGAACTGGAACACAAATCTCAGAGTGGGGAGGCACCTGAACAGCTGAGCAGTGAGTCTGTCTGCCACAGTTTCTGATGTAACCTCAAGTCAAGTCTGACTGGCAGAGAAGTGTGTCCTTACATGAGGTTTTTCTAACTTTTCAACCGCCTTCTGTTTTCTCAGAACAAAAGTGGTGGCAGGACCAACGAGAGGCTGAAGACCAGAGAGCTGCCAAGCAATCTGTCACCCAGCCAGCAGGAGTGAAGGGGTCTTCTGACACCAGTGGGGCAAAGAGCCGAGCCAGGCAGGGCAGAGGAGGGCCAGGTCCAGTGCGAGTGGCAGCATCTGTAACTAAAGCTCCAGCTCCTGCTCCCCCTGCCCCCATCAGAGGAGGGAAAGCTGCTCGGCCTCAAGCAAAAGCCCCCGCAGCTAGGTGATGCATGCAGGTGGCCTGAGACAAGTCTGCCTGTTTTGTGGACTCTCTGTGATTTTCGTGATTTTCTGTAGCAGATTAATCTCACTAAGTCCTGCTGCACACTTATGTCAACACAGTATTATCACTTTTTTATGTAGTCAACTTGACTGGAAGAAAATATTGGTTTGTATTCAAGAAAAAGATGTAAGAATATTTGACAAATCCATCATGTTTAAAAATTAGCACTGATAAAAATGGGACTTGTGTTATGATATCCTTGTAACATTTATGGATCCTGGTTTAAAACTGTCTAGTTTTGATGAAGTTCTGAGCTGTCGTATTATCTTCTGTCCTGTAGGGGGAGAGCTGGAGCAGTAGCCAAGCCTAACAGATCAGCTAAACCTTCTAACAACTGTACTAAACCCCAGATCCCAACTAGCAAGCCTAAACAGGACTCTTGTCCCAGTACTGTTGAGACTGCAGAAGGTAAAGCATGAAACAAGATTTCAGAGTCACAGGCAGAGTCTGGAGAGCATCTTTGTCCTTCAAAGCCTTAGCTTGAATTTATCTTTACAAATTTAGTTCTTAAATCTTGCTGTTCTACAGTTATGCAAAAAAAAACTGTGGGTAAATTTTCACTGTAGTCTTTTAATAAAAAGAAAGAAAGGGATATTGACAACAAAACGGGCCACTTCACTCTCTAATGTAAAATTATGTTGTAAAGGATTCTTAAGAATGTGAATAATAGTCTGTCCAAGCTTAAAATTCCCCACCACAAACAAACCCAAATTTAAATAAAACCTGTAAAAAAATGTGGGTGAATGTGATGAAACACAGCATCATTTCTTTTTAAGTTCAGGGACTTCATATACATTTTATTTTTGCAAGAACATGGTTGAAACATTACTGAAGCGTATTACATTCGCCTACAAATAATAAAGGAAACAGTTTTTTTTTTTAATAATTTCTTTTATTTGCTGTTTGTCAGACTCATTTTTGTCTTCTTTCTTTTTTTCTGACTTATTTTTTCTTCTGTTTATTGTACTAATATATTTTTCCCCCTCTTTCTGTTTTTCGGGCAAATTTCTATTCTGTTTTTTTTTTTTTGTACTATTCATAAAAGCGTATGTTTTTAAATGATCATGATCCCAGAGCATAGAAAAAACAATTAGTCTAAAAAAAAAAAACACAAAAAAAACAGACTGAAAAACAGAAAAATAAGTCAAACAGAAAAAAAAAAAAAAAAAAACTTTGAAAAACAGAGCTTTTTTTTTTTTTTTTTTTTTTTTTTTTGATGAATGCAATACACTTCCTTACAAAGTCAAACATTAACCACTATCAAGCACAAGTTCAGTTTCATTTCAAGGAACAATGGGGTCATTCTGGGCCTTACATCAATACAGAATGAGATGATATATTAACAGACGTTAAGGGATGATTAAGCTTTATGTGTTTCAAAAGTTGTTTCAGAGCCTGCTGATGCAGACAAAGTGAGGGGGTCCAGACCAGTGAACCGCAAGTCTCATATCTCTCGGCTGGGCCTGGCACGTGCCCTCACCCGCTCTGCAGACACCTGTGAGCAGGCTAAGCAACTCTATCAGGAGGTGATCTCCATGGCACCAGGGGTTAGTTGTTGTTTCAGGCGTATTTTCAGATATCTTATTTACACAGAAGAATGAACGGTTATCTATATTTCACCTTTACAAGATTTCTGGTAGTAAGTATTTCCAGTAGATGTCAGAATAAGAAATGATTCATGAACTAACTGTTTAGGTCCATGATGCCTACATCGAGCTTGTTCATCTGCTGGAGCCTTCGGACCCTCATGCTGCAGTGGAGGTTTATTGCAGATTCCCTTTTCAGCCAGTGGCCGAGCAAAGCTTCGATGACGCCTTCATCACAGGAGAGATTGTTCGCATGCTGGTGTCACTGGAGCAGTTTGAACATCCGCAGCTGGGACCAAGCCTTGTAGCTCATGGCAAAGTCATGGGCTTAGGTGATTTTTTTGTTTTTAACTTTTATAAATACCTCATTTATGTATTACTTTTTCAAGATTAAAAAACTCAGCATTAGTATATTTCACATAAATACCTTGCATTTGAGTTTTGCTAAGCAAACAAATAAATGTTTGAAGGAATCAGAGAATCAGGGACAGGCATGAACACATTGGAAGATGGTCAGCTACAGAAAGCTTTTGACTGAAAATAATCATTTTATTTTCCAAACAGATCAAACTGGGACTCTTATTTGCAAACGTTTTATCAAAGTAGTCGCCTTATTATTTTTTTTTTTTTGATAATTTGTTAAAAATACTGAATTGAACTCATTCAGCCGGATCCATGTGACATCCCATGACATGCTATTAATAGAGATGTATTATATGCAACTGATGTCATGCCTATTTGGATAGTGACATCTCACACCACTGTGTCTTGTGACATAGTACATAGAGGAAAAAAATGTAACTTGATATCAGATAACTGAACAGGGAAAAAGGAAGAAGACAGTTTAGATAATTATCTTACAGGGTTCAAAATATTACAAAACATCTCATAAGGACATTCATCAAACTAAGAAACACCACAAATAATTTAATCTTTATATGTTGAAGTGTTTTATCTGTGACTGTGTTAATGTAGTTCTCTGTGGCTTTGTTTGTAGGTTGCATAGAGAAATACATCGACATCCTGGATGAAAAGGGCATGACAAAGCTGCTGAGGAATGTGTATGCAAAGATCCATGATCGACAGGAAGACGATCAGGACCTGCAGGACTACTTCAGGTTCAAATGCTGGATATGAAAATGCCTGCAACCATCTGACATGTACCTGTGTTTATCTATTTGAATCCTAGAGAGTGAGAGTTTGCTTACTCAACACCAAAGACACACATCTTTGGTCATGAACTGATGATGCATCTCATCTGTTCATGGATACAGGAATTTACATAGACCTAACATAATAAAAAAGCTGTTCTTGATGAGAAGAAGACAGAAACAAGTGGATTTATTTCTCCAAAGGCACATGTAATTTATAACACAGTTCTCAATAAAAATGACATATCAAAAGTGACTTAATCAACAAAACTAGAGTTCACCAACAATGCAACAAAAGGGGAGTTTCAATGAGAATTTAAAAAATGAAACTAGATAAAGAAATGAAATCTCAGCCTTCAGCTTGTTATTCAAAGCCAGAGGCTGGAGGACTCCTTTCTCTTTGTGTAGTATGGTGCTTTAGTGGTCAGTCTTTGCACTCTTGTACTATACTCTCCAGATGGATCATCCAAGTTGCATATATACGTCAGGGGTAGCATTCACAGATACTTTTAATTTAACACTAACAATAGATTTGACCATTTATTTGGATTGAAGAAATTTCTGTTCAGATAAATCAACAGATAAGTATCAAATGTACAAAATCTAGACAGACAGCTGCCAAAACTTTCATCAGGAAGTTGTCCAATGTTCAAACAGACACCCCAGCATCTAAAAGGGGCAGTGAATTATACACTATTGGTGCACCTCTGCAGTTGTGACTTGTTTCTCCTCAGTCTGTATAGATCTTTGTTGTATTTTCTTTTTTTTTTTCACACCATATTGAGTTTGGTGACAATAAGCACGCGGACAGTCTGGTCAAATCCCGAACACACGCACAAGCCCTGCTTGTCAGGGCTCCAGTCCAGGCTGGCGATTGGCTGAGTAGACAGAGTGACATTCTGTAAGAGGTTGACAGAGCCAGCTACACCCACATCCACGCCATCTGAGTCCTTCTTGCTTCTTTGAGCCGGATACTCACTGAAAATGACACAGATTTTATCCACATCTGCTCATAGTTGCCATAGTAATTAAACTTCATTGTCAAAAAACAACCATCATAATGAGCATTTACATATCTTGAAACTAGATAAGATTTGTTTGATTAAATATGAAGTACTCACTACTTCCACAGATGAAGGTTGCCTGCTCCCCCTGCAGTCATAAATATCTCTCTGTTTTGGGGCAAATGCTTCACCTGCCAGATGGTCGACTTATGAGCCTAAAACAAACACAGATCATTTGCTTCTTTGACAAAAAATTTAGAAAGATGTTAAACCTTTGTATTTTTCTAGGATTTATGCAGTCTTAACCTTTGCATTTGCAGCACACTTTATATTTTTAAGCACTGCTTACTGTCGCTGTGTTTGGTGAAATACTTTTTCCTTGTGCCAGTGGGCCAAACTACGTTGATAAAAGCCAAAGCTTTTACTTCACACAACAAAAATGATAAGATCTTGTAAAAGACTGAGTCTTGGTTCCAGAATGCAAACTTAAACAAATTGATGTTAAAGGGATATTCTGTCTTAAATCTGATCAAACACACCTTAAAACCGAGTTAGACACCCCCTCAAGAGATGAATGTTTTAAGAGACAAGGGAAAGATTAAAGATATAATGGTTAGTCAAAAACAGTACATGGCTTTTTCCTCCCTTATTTGGATCAAAATATCTGGAGAAACCTTATGACTCATAGAGGAAGATACCGATGTGCCACCTGTTGATTACTCAGAAAAACAGGAAAAATATTTGGAAAGCAGATCCCTCTGATCTCAGAGACTCAGCAAACACTTGGCGAGTTGAGCTGTGCTTTAATCTACATTGAAGTGTGTTTTCTGGGATTTCTCGGCATTTTGGCTCAAGACTCTCCCCTTCATAAGCCAAGGGTCACTTTTGGCTGGTGTCACAAAACCACAGAACATGTTAGACAAACACAACCCCAAACACTTCCAGCTGTGAAAATGGTCAGAATGAGGTGCAGCCCCCAATTTCCTCCGTAGGTTACAAATGTAAAACTAACAATAACAATAATAACCCTCTTGACATTTTTCCCACACATGGGAGCCAAACAGCTGTCTGGCTTTTACTGCCTTTGTCAATTACCTTTTCAGAAACGGAGGCAAAGCCCTTGGTGTGGTGCTGGGTTCTCATGTCAAAGACGTGGAATTTTCCCTCCAGTGAGGTGGCCACCAGCTTATTCATGTTGATGTCTTTCCTGTCAAACTCCACAGCACATACCTGGCCATGATGTCAGAAAAAATAACAGTTACTCCCAGAAATTTTCATATGGCATGGTTTCACAACACATGGTTTCCCACATTGTAGTATGTGTTGAAACAGACATAATGACCCCAGGCTGTTTCAGAGGGGGATGAATAACAAATAGCTCTGCTGTGTTTTTGTATGATGTGTGCAGTTATGTAAAGTCTAAATGATGCTGGGAAGTAATTTCCAGTTCTTGCCCCATACTGCTGTTTTTATCTCCCTGTTGAGTCAGGTGGAGGTTCCAGTACAAGATAAAAAGAGTGCATTTGCAGTCCTAATACAAACAATAGTTCTAAATATGAGGTTTACTTCTAAGCCCAGTGGATTAAATCTGTTGCCAGTGTCAGTTCCCATTTTCTTCAGGATAGTTTGTCATATCATTGCTGCAGTACCATACTGGCTACATAAAATATAAAAAATAAACAAGAACAAAATCACTTCACACAGTCACAGGAGCTCTCATCACCACTTACTGACCTATTCAACCATGAAATGTGCTGAGCTCACCCCATTTTTAATGTTGGTTTCCCACCGTAGAGACATATTCCGCAAGTCAAAGAGTTTGATGTCCCCGTTGTCGTAGCCGGCACACACACATCGATCCTGATCATTGAATGCATGACCTGGAGGAAGAGAGTCAACTAAAAGTGACACTGCAGAAGCTGGCTTTTAATTTTGGGGTAATGAAAATGTTAAATATATAAACTAGGAAGCTCACATTGAGAGGAATCAAAGTTTAAGTGCCATATTTTCATTGGTGAGATAATTGGTGTCTGGAATTTGTTGTTCTTTGTACATCTGTAACAGTTTTTAATCCCTTTGTGCATGTAGGTAGCATGGTAAACCTGTGATCTTACTATTAAAAATGCTTTCAAGTAGACATCTACAATAGATTAACTCCATTCCTTTAAAGACCCACTTTGAGGAGATCATGTTTTTCTTGTTGTCTACATGTTTATATGGCATTTTTTCTGGTGCTACAGGACATACCATGAGAAAAGTAAGTGCGAAATTGCATTTCTGACTATTTCTGCATTCAAATTACTATGAATCTCTCACAGACGCAAACAGCAGGTTCAGATTCAGTGAGATTTCCTACATAGCAAATCCAAGCTCCGCCCCCGGAGCCCACACTCGGAAAAGTACAGGATGAGAGCGGAACAAGCATGTGCGTTAGTGGATTGCAATGCTTGAAAGAAAGCTAATTATGATATTAAATTTCATCATGTCCCTTAAGACATTAGTGTCTGAGGGCTGAATAGCTCCTATGTCACTTTCAACTCCTACTACACCGGCATTGTTAGGCTACAAGCTAGCATGACGAGGAGTGTGCAGAGCAGTGCTGTCTCCGCCCACGACTCAGAGGTGAATTGCTAATGATCTACTGGAGCTCTGCAGAAGAAAAGCCCTTGAAAATGACAAAGGTAACGTGATTTTGGCTTAAAATTTAATAAACACAATCTAAAGACCACTGATAACACTTTAAGTGATTTTAAAAAAATCAGAGTGGGACTTTAACACCAATTCTAACTTTGAAAAAATAAAATAGATAATATTTTACATACCAAATGCAACAGTCCAGCAGTCCCTTTTGGTTTCTCCTTCCGTTGGCTCCATGTTGGCTACAGGTGAATCCTTTTGTCTAGGATCCCACACCTTTACAGTCCCTATAACACCAGAGGACATCCATGTTTTATCTAAAAGACACTTTTCATAATTATACTTTCAGGCAGTTTTCTCTCTACTAGATAGGACAGCTGATGACAGGCAAGGAATGCCAGGAAACTGCCACAAGGACTATAGCCTCTGCATATGGGGCGCACATCTCATCCACCCAGCCAACCAACACCCCAATAATCCATGATCTAACTGCTTTCTCAACACCACTTAATTATCTCAAAGCTGTTGTTTTGAAAAGGTTTAAGCAAAAACTGCTTTAACATCTTTACCATCTCTGCTTCCAGTGACTATCTCAGGTGCACCATCTCCAATCCCAAGACCACCAACACCGTCGATGCTGTTTACAATCTCTTTGTGGGCCTTTACAGCGTACACTGGCACTTCAGGCATCTCCAAATTCCTGGGAAGAAATAAACCCCAACAGGTTTTAAGTAAGGGTTAATGTGTGTCTAATTTGAAAGCAACAAGCACCAATTCAGGTACTTCATTTAGTCCATTGAGTGGTTTCTAATAGAGCCTTCTTATTGACTTTTATACTATTACTGGGAAGACATAAATGGCAATATTCAGCTCAAATTGATTGAGTACCATATATTGAGATTTCCTTCAAAATCCCCAGTTGCTATGTGTCGTTGTTGAAGAGAAGTGGCCCCAAATGTTCCACACTTGATGGGTTTGGGTTTCTCTACCTGGAAAGGAAGATGCAACAAACAGATGAATGACGCTAAGGTATATTGTATTGACACAGTCCTGAAATAATAAACCATTCAGCGATCAACTTAATTTATATGATCAGGTGGTAAAGTTTTGGGGTCTGATCCTAATTCTGTGTTTGTAAAGCATAAAGGCTCCTTACGGTGCCGTTCAGTAGTGCCTAAATGAGACCATGTGCGTTTCGTAGGTCGAGATGATTAACTTGTAAACAATATCTAGAAAAAGCACACAACAGATATTGTATCTAATTTAGCATAATCAACTAAACTAGCATGTCCAAAAAAACTTTTGGAAACTGTCAATTGTCTGCTATCGTTCTGTTGCTCGTTGCTATGGAGACAACCAGAGACTTACAGAATCCACATACAGTAGCTTAACCTAAAAATACTAGATACAGTTGATATAATTTATTTCCGAGAATAAAGAGGAAGACAGCCATCAAAAGGTTACATCAGTCATGTGTTTTCTACCTCCTTGATAAGTTGAGCCTCCCCGTGCTGCACTTCATATATTTGCATCACTCCGGTTCCTCTAGGAAAGTTCCCAAGACAGACAAACTTTGCGCTGCAAGGGATCCATTTATTGTCAAAAACCGTGTAATTCAAACCCTTCTGAATGTGCGCAATAATCTGAGGCTTTGCAAGCGGCGACGACATCTTCGCTGTGGTCTGACTTTGTTATAAAGCCGTTTGATTAAGGCAGCAAATAACCAGTGCAATGTCTCTGGCTGCCAAAACAAACCACTTTGGTTCCTCCTACTGCCGAGCTGAACCCGAGGCTGTCCAAAGAGATGCCTGACCAAATGTTCGCAATTCTAGTCGAGATTTGATGATTTCAAGTCACACCGACTGTGTGTGTAGATCTTTTATGGATTCAATATTATTTTAAAAACTTGCAAAGATATTTCTGTGTGTTGTCACGTTTGCACTTATTATTTGTTCTCTACTGGCGATGGTGAGACGGCTCAGTTGGTCCTTTTCTTTACACGAGGACATCCTCATGTCTCAGTGGTCGTCTTCTGCGTTAGTGTTAACTATTTAGTCTGATATTACACTATTCCCCGAGATGAACAGTGATCAAAGTACAACCCCGGACGCCAGTGCTTCCGTGGAGAGTAAAAGTGACGAAGATACTTTCACGAAGGTAAAGTCTAAAAAGACTCAAAAACGAAAACGTGAACAAGACGCGGCGGCGGACATGGACACAGAGGGGCCCATGGCCAGCAAGAGACCGCAGTTTCCTCCAATTTCAGGCGACAGGTTAAGGGTGAGTACTATGATAGTTATACGGTTCGTGTTTCACTTGAGTTTTATCACGATTTGACGCCTGTGTCTATCTGGATTTGATGTCTTTGACGGGGGAAAGGAAGACAGTCTGGCCAGTCTGAACTTTGTGCGCACGCGCAGTTTTGCTCTTCAGCGCTATTAAAGGGCAGGGGGGAACACATTTTTTCTTACCTCAGACTTTCTCAAAAGTATTGTTTGATAATTGATGTTATTATTTATGAAAATTCTGTATTCCGACAGTTCGCGGTCTTCCATAATTTAATGTAATAACCAATGTCAGACACTTCTGAGTAAGTGTCTAAAAATAAACATTTGTTGAGCACACGGGGCTTAAAGGGGCAATGTATAGTTCAACAGTGGTCATGCTAAATAAAATCCTGACAGGGTGAGACAAGATGTGCCCTCCACTCCAAAGTAAAGGTGGGCAACATGGCAATATTTCCCAGGATTTATTGTGATATGACATTTACCTTGATATTTTGAAACCTCCTCCGAAGCTCTGTTTAATGAAACCCTTTGATGCCTAAAACCACACTTGTATAAAGGCCCGAATGGACTACAGAATGATTTTATTTTTCATGCAAGAAGTGGAAAATCACACCTTGTTTTGGTCCAGGTAGCTGCAATTACATAATGGCAATGTGGGCTTGCAACTGCCTGGTTGTCAAAGGTCCTAAAACCGTACTTCTCCTTGGAGCAGCGTGAAACCCATTTTTCTAATTATTTAAAGTCAGTCTTACATATTAAAACAATTTATGCAGTACAGCTAGGTGTAGAAGAAAGGAGGTGAGTGACACTGGCCTGTACTGTCTGCATTGATTCATCATGGGAAAGTAAGGCTTTTTATTTTGGACAAACCCACACTGAGGTGTTAAGAGATAGAGATGTGATCAGGTATTTTTTTTATTGTATTTAATGGGAATGGAAGGAGACAAGCAGATCTGTCAGTTGTTCTTCCTCTGTCCCTGAGTTGGACTGTCCTGCAGCCTGTTTTGGTGCACGCCCTGACTTAAAGCAATTATTAATGCCTCCACCTTTCTCTGATAGATTTTATAAACAGTATAGTTATGAGACCTAAGTCTGTGTCAATGATGTTGATCTGTTTATCTGTTTTCCCTGTAATCAAAGACTACAGTCTACAGTGTAGTCATTTTAAGTTTTAGATTCAGGAATCAAACTGCTGGACCGCTCAAACTCTCCTATATGTGTGGTGAGCATAGGCTGGGCAATGTGATCTTATCCCACAGAAGAACCACTGGAGCTCAAACTTACCGATGAAGATCACCACAGACTTCATTATCCTCTCTGTTTGCAGAGCCTGACTGCAGTTAGCAGATAAACAAGTTTTGAAGATGCATTTATTTGTGAACCACAGATTTAGCTTCTAAAACCATCTCTTAAATGGTTGTGTAGGTTTGTCATTGACTAAGCAACGGTGGTTTAGTTAGAATAAATCTCTTTGCAACATAAATCCCAGTACAGCAGCACCCACAGTACATATTACAGGATTGGGGCTACAGAAATTATCGGTTTCAGGATTGTCTGAAAAAATGCAATCCACTGATGAATTGTCTCCTTTATTGTAATGTCTCCATTATGGCATTGTTTATTTTGTAATATAATCGTCCATCTGTCAACTTTACCACTTATCTTCTTTGTAGTCAGTTAATCATATGACCACCAAAATAAAAGCAATAATTATGACGCTCGCTAATACAATAAATATTTAAATCAAGGTTTTCGTGTCATTTATTGCCAGAGTTTTGTTGATTATTGTTTCAGGGACCAGATGAGATGCGCAAAGTCCCCGTCCCAGCTCACAGATACACCCCGCTGAAGGAGAATTGGCTCAAGATTTTCACCCCAATAGTAGAAAACCTACAGCTTCAAGTTCGATTTAACCTCAAAACCAGAAATGTTGAAATCAAAGTAAGTTCCCCCAGTATACTTCAACATTGCTGACATGATTGAGCGTTCATGTAATTATACCGAATTGTTTGCTCATTTTAGTATTGATTGTGTCATGTTATTTCTTCCCTTTTAGACTTGCAAAGACACACAGGACATCAGCTCCCTCACAAAGGCAACAGATTTTGTCAAAGCATTTGTTCTGGGCTTCCAGGTTGAAGTAAGTGAAAGGTTTAGACTACAGTCTATACATCCAGCAAGAGTAAAAGGCATCACTTTTGACCACTTTTTGAGTTGACAGAAATTTCAGGCCTTCGATTTTGACCAGTGATTAACTCTTAATTTCTCTTTGTAGGATGCCTTGGCTCTTATCAGATTAGATGAACTCTTCCTTGAAAGCTTTGATGTCACTGATGGTAAGAGGGCACTGATCCCATCAGTTTTGTTCTGAGACACTTTTTTCAAACAATTTCTTCACATTTAACAAAATGTGAACAATCAGATTTCCTGTTTCCTCATTCTGTTGTGCAGTAAAACCATTGAAGGGAGACCACTTATCCAGAGCCATCGGGAGACTGGCAGGGAAGGGAGGAAAAACCAAATTCACCATTGAAAACGTCACAAAGACCCGTATTGTGCTTGCAGACACGTGAGTGCTTTTGTAGTTGTCTGTCACTGTTGCTGTAGACAGGTTATCATTAAATCTTGATAGTTTTAATGATCATAAATTAGTTAATTTCCTTCTTCAGTTAATTACTTAAATTTTTCATGTATGGAAACAAAAATGGCTCAATTCTGTTGATGTGCTCAATGTAACTGTCACAGAAAATTAAGAACGACTTGTTGATAATCTCAGTGAAATAGATCATCTCAAATGGACCAGCAAAAAGACAGGAACTATTTTTCCAAGCAGCATATTTACATTTCGACTTGAGAAATTTATCTTTTCTTACAAAACAGGACTGACTTGTTTCATTTTTCCACCTGAAGAGTGCTACAGAAAATGTCCCTTTATGGCTTAATATAGAGTCATAGAGTGGTATTCCAGTGCAGTAAGCTGTTAGTCCCCAAGGCTGTGGTGAGAGCTGCATCCTTTGCAATAATCTGTTGTTCATGACAACAGAAAAACAACAAAAAAACAGACCCTGATGTGAACTTAGGCTTCATAATGATCAATCAGAATCAACAATAACTGAAATGTTTGCCCCTTTTGTCCTCAAACTGATGCATGTGAATAAAAGTCCTCTATCTGTCTCTCTCCAGGAAAGTTCACATATTAGGATCTTTCCAGAACATCAAGATGGCCAGAACAGCGATATGTAACTTAATCTTAGGTAAGAGAAATACTGTTTTAGTATAACATAAACACAAGAGTCGTGATCAGAGGGTTGATTATATATCGGAGTAGAACTCTTTGAATCCACATGTGAGATTAAGGATTGACCTTTAAACCCCCTTTCACCTCTACAGGAAGTCCACCTTCAAAGGTTTATGGCAACATCAGGGTGGTGGCCAGTCGGACAGCTGAGAGATTCTGAAGTCTTATTGGCTGCTCTGCATTTTTGTCCTTTCCCCTGATGGGCTGGTGATATTCCCACTTTGGTGTGTTGTGATGGGACTATTTAGACTAACACCACAGAGTCCTCTGCTTTGGCCTCATGTTTGGAGCTGTCTGCTGGTTTTATGGTGACACATTTTGGATCAGGAAACATGGAGCACAATCAAGATGTTTGCATAATTAAATTGGCTGTCAGCAGAAGTTTGTGTAAATAAATACATTCAATCCACAGGGGGAATGAATTTATTGGTGTCTGTGTTATAGGGGGGCTTTGGTTCAGTGGTGGAGCCAGTCATCTCTCAACCAGTAGGTCAAGGTTTGATCCCAGGTCCTGCTGTCCACATTGCATAAGAGTCCTCAGGCAAGACACTTGAGCCCCCTCTGGCTGTGTCCAGTGAGTGCGACCAGTTAATACCTATGGGCACTTTACAAAGCAGCCTCTGCCATCAGTGTATGTGGGTGAATGTGACAAGTAGCACTTTGAGTAATCTAAAGACCTGAGAAATCGCTATAGAAGTACAGTCCATTTAAAATTGAGCATTTGCTGAATTTTAAATAGCCTGTAGTGTAAAACTGGAGCTTGGTTCAAAAATGTTATTTTCTACCTAGTAGCATCCAGAAGAAAACTAAGGTTAAAAAATGCCAGAAAAATCCATTACTTTCAACATTTCAAAGTTTATTTAAATTGTATTTAATTTTCATACAGTATCAACTTTCCAACAGTCCCACAGCATAAGATGCAGCATGCAGAAAAAGGAAAAAAAAGATTCTCAAACTTATATCTTTCAGATAGCCCCACACAAACTAAAAAGAACCCAAGTCCCTTAGAGAAAAAGAAGCACTTACAAACTAAAGCGCGGTCTGAACTATACAGAGAACAGAGAGCCAGAACTGCATTTAACAAATACTTATATACAAAAGAAAGAAAAAAACCCATCAAATTTCCCCTTTAAGCTGAGTACAGTGTGTGGCAGTTTGAGACAGGATCAGATATGCAACTTTACTGGAATAGAAGCATCAGGCTGACCCGGGTAAAATACAAAAAAGTTACATGTAGTTCATTTCATTTGGATTACCTCTCATAATATGTGTACATTTACCAAAGTTTGGCAACATCCATATTGTATACCATTAAATTCTTAAATATATTAACATCACCATTCATGTGTAAACAAGAGGATTATTTCAAAAAGTTGATCTACATGCACAACAAAAAAATGTATTTCCATGTCATGCAAGCACAGGGAGGCCCAAGCCGTGCAGAGCTTTGGGATTAAGGGACGACGGAGCACTCCAGAGTCACGAATCTGACCGAAAACTTCTGTTCAAACCAGTAGTCCATCCTCAAAGCAAAACAAAAAGCTGTTTTTTTCCCAACACCATTCAGAATAGGAAGCATTTCCCCTTAGATGTTAAAATATTTGAATATATGGGTTTGTCCCTGATGGTTTACAGTTGATGTGAGAGGAAGAAATGAGGTGATTTTGACAGAAAAAAAAGTGGGAGAAGCCAACTTATGAAATGTACACTTTCAAAATATAAACAAACTACAATATCCAGTCTATCCCACTGCACTCTGATAATGCCAAGATGTAGGATTTCTAAGTCTTTATGTTGTGTTGGAGAAACCCTGACCCATCCTGTGCTGTACTCAGAAAGGTACGTTTTCAGAAGGGCTCAAGTGAAGCAGAGGAAAAGCCTTCTCTCGCTGTCAGAGAGGATGAGCACAATTGATTACCTAATATACACATATTAGTTAAAAAAAAAAAAACGCCTGCAGATAAGTCTCTTTAACCAGCACAAGCAGTGCATAATCTCACCACAATTCACCTTAAACTATTCCTCTCTTTTTTTAGCCAATTTATCCAGCCTGTCTTTTGTAACTGAAGTCTTGAAATAAACTCACAATCTCCCATCTACCTGTTCTTTGCATTACAGATTGTCTTTTGGATGCACACTGTAAAGCGAAAATGCTTCATCAAGAGTAAACCATCTATCAGTTTGCAGCCACAGATTATTTTGGAAAGACATTTTCTTGGCATTCAATTATTTACCTAGGATTTTTATGACAGGAAAACAAGGATTATTTTAAACAATATAAACACATTCTTAAGTATAAATTGAACTTGCAACCACAAAAACAAAACAAAACATGAATATCTTTGCTTGGAGTGACCAAAGCTTCACTAGTGTAATCCCGAATGTGTGGAAGCTTAAATGGAGGACAGAAAATCTAAAATTTCATTTGCAGTTGGAAATGTCACAATGATTGACAGCGGTGATGATAGGTAATAACTCAGACTGGTTTCTGGATATGTTCTGGTTGGCACTTCATACCCTACTTTCTAGTTGTACTGTAAGTCAAGTGTTCAAATACTATACACTTCCCCTCACGTGACAACCAAAGATATACTTGTATTTTTTTCTTCTTTATAAAAGACAAAAAAATAAATATCAAAAATAACAATTAACAAAAAAAAAAAAAAGGATGAAATATGAATGCGCCAACCAGGCTCTTTACGGCGCCCTCTTCCCCCGACTGTCCCCCCTCCCATCCGCAATCACAGATGCTCGCGCAAATGACAAATGGGTGTCCTTCAGTCTCTCAAAGTGCTACGACCGGGTTATTGAGAGGATTTACAGTTCAATAACACTTCAAAGTTGGCTTCACGAGGCCTGTGGTTTTGTAAAGAAAAAGTGGCTTCACAGAGCAAGAGAGAGAGAGAAAGAGAGAGCGAATACTTCCATTGAGTTACACAGAGAGCGTTTTGCCAGACGTCTTGAGCAGATCTTCAGAGATGGTGGAGAAAGCAAGTGTTGAGGAAGAGGAGGGGGCAGCAAGCAGTGGAGTGTTCACACATCCACCACCATCTTTTTGTGTATATCGAGACCTCCAACCACCTGGAAAAAGACAAAAAGAAACATATATTCATCTGGTGCTGTAAGAGGAAGTACAGGCCGCAATAAACTGAGATGTGGGAATAAAAAATACTTTGAAACAACTTCAAAACACTACAGAAAAAAACTAAGACAAATTCATATTTCTGGGTTTTCTGCATATTCTGTTATATCTGTAGCCCACATCCATTGGTCTATATATTCCTTCTAACTCCTCCCAGCTACAGCATCTTGTTTAACTGAGATTTTGCCAGAGGGGGTCAATGATATTTTTAAAATACACCTTTCCCTAACAGCAGGGGTGAGTCCAGAGAGGTGGCATGACACCCCTGATTGGATATCCCTGGTGCTGCTACAAAATCCTCAAGTTCAAATGTAACTCTTCAGTTTAGACCCTTCACTACATTCTTTCCCCACTCTACTCTCCACGTTTCTTGTCTCTCCTTAGTTGTCTACTCAATCAAGGAAAAAAATGCCCAAAAATTTTAAAGGGCTGAATAAAATTTTACAAATGAATAAGACTTCTTTAAGGACGTCTAGAGTCGGTCCACAGAGGTGAGTTAAATGCTATTCTTACTTAAGTCAGTGTTTCACTTGGGTCAGCCCAGTTGATAAAGTATGGAAGTATAAAAGTCACCCCTTACTGAGTAGATAAACATGCTCTATGGTAGAGCTGGATGATTAATCGAATTTTAATCGTGATTTCGATTTGGGCTTCTCATGATTATAAAAATATTATAATCGAAGCAAAACGATTGATGTGCCACACAGCACAGCATGTAGGTAAGTTCCTGTGCTGGGCAAACACTTTAAATGCACCCATGTTACATGCAGCTGCAGCCAGCATGTGATGTGTATGGATCAATAATTTGACGAGTGAGTGATTAAAACTTAGCGGAAAGGCAGCCTTTGGTTAAGAAGAAAGGTAGGACAACTTTAGTAATCTGGAAACATTTTGGCTTCAAGTTGACGGACGTCGAGCAGAAAGAAATTGTTTGCAATGTTTGTTACGCTTTCATGTCTGCTCCCCAAGGCAATCCGACCAACTTCATTGACCGTGGTGCATGCGCTGTCTGCTTCACTGGTATATCCAACATGGCCGACCAGCTGATTGTTTACGTGTCGGAGAACTGAGTGCTTTTCGATAAAAGACACAAACATTACAAAGATAACAAACTGAAGGACGACTTGTGGAGAGTCATAGCATCGGATTTCTCATATGACGATGGTTTGTGTGCTTTAACAGTTTGCTAAACGTCTTTGTTTTAACTTTCACCTGTGCTAAGTAACTTTAGCTTGTAAGTTAACCTGTTCAGATACAACATACCATATGTATTTTCACTGTCTCAAACTCAATCACTGTCACAGCACCATTAGGTCTCGCTTGTTACCTTACGTTTATGGATTATAGTTTAATGTGCTTAACAGGTAGCATAGCGGAATAGTATGCTACATGCTACAGACAGCCATCTCAACACTAGTGTCTAATCAGAACTGAAAAAGGTCAGTCTGGTGTTGTGTCAGTCTTCTTGCTTCCACCCGGGACGCGTCTTTTTTCCCCCGGTGTCTAAGGACCTTTAGTATTTTTATTTTTGAATTTGCGTGGCTGTAACCTGGACTCGTGTATCAGTATATGCACACACTTGGGCACTGCATCATGGAGCAGGCGCGAGCCGAGTATTAGCATTAGCAAGTTGTGTGGGCAATCACAGAGCTGATTCATTGTCCAGCCCTACTCTACAAAGAAAGAGATCTGTCTGAGCAAGTGTGGGTCTGTGTCACATTATTTTGGTATCACGCATTTGTTTCTGTTGGAGTTCTTTCTAAACTTACGGTACATGGCAAACTAACTGACTTTGAATTTTTCCATTGATTCAGCCAATATACCAGTGAATCTTTTGGTCCACTGAATTAAGAAAACACACGTATATTTTCATTTTTTTAAGTGTCTCTATCTTCATAATTTTACAACTATAGTTTTAGGTGATGCCATCATGGTGAAAAACCCTGTTGACATTATTAGGGTCATTTAATTTGTCTTTAAAATCCAGAAAGATCCACCTGATCAACACTGAGGCATTTACCTGTTGCGAGTCGTACTTGCTCCTTTACTCAACCAAGGTTACAGCTTCATTCACACTCTTGTCTTTACATCAGTAAACAAATAAATGGGACGTGAAGGAGTTCTGCTTTCATCAACGTATCCTCTCAGCATCACAATGAAGTTTTGATGCCAAGATGTGGTGTTAATTCTTGCTGCAGCACTGAACCTGTGAACACTCTTCAATTTTACAACTACAAACCTCATAAAAAATCTAGTTTGTAACAATGATGTTATTTTTAAACCCTCTTTGATGCCACTTCTGTCCAACTGCAGTGCTCAGAGCTGGACCAGTGCAAGTTTGACTGAAATCATATCATAGTCTCCACTCTGAACCTGCAAGTGTTTGAGCAGCATCTCTTTGATAAAATCAGGATCTAATGTTTTCCTGCTCGATCCTGATTTACACACTCCTAAACGAGCGAGATCAAAGTGAGGATCAGCCAATAATCAGCATGGCTGATAATATCAGTCAGTATTCAGCATTTTTATAATAATTGGCATCGGCTGTTTTTTCCACCAATAGCCGATAAAATATGTTTACTTCAAAACGCGCTCATTTGGCTGTTATACAGCCGCCTCTCTCTGCCTGAAGTAACCACTCTTGGCTGTGTAACAATCTCGCACCTACAGTCCCCACTCATTGGCTACACAGACAGCCAATCAATACTCAAGCTTCGAGGTGCAGCTCCAAAGTGAGGGAGAGGAGAGTGCTCCAATTAACGGCAGTATGCCACTACTAAGTGGATGTGAGGCTCCTGTTCCTTTCTCTGCTGTTTATTTACACCATAGAACTAATAGCTGAAGTGAACAAAATAGAAGCCAACATCAGCTATTGCAATAATTACATAAATAGCATTTTTTAGAACTGTAGCAAATACAGATACAGAATACACTAAGTCATACGGATCACTTAAGCCTGCTTCTAAACCAACGGCAGTCATTCCCCAGAGACAACCTTCACAGTCAAAAAATAAGATCTTTCAACTTACTCTTCTTATAACAAGCATCATGAAGCATGGAGAACATAGACTGTATATACTATGGACAACCTGGATCCGCCTTCCGCCTGTGTACACATTTGAAGCCAAATAGCTCTCGGTATTTCCGGGATTTTTCTTCATCTCCTGAAACCAGTGCTGTGCAGTAGCGATGTAGGCATTCGGCCGCGCAGTTGCCGAGAGTCACTGTGATGACGCTCAGCTCAAACAGCGTATCCCCCCGGGTGAGCTACACAGTCCCTGAACGCCCATAGGCTGTATCAGGTGTCAATCATAGAAAACATGAACCCCCTAAAAACTTTTAAAAACGGAGCTGTACAGAAAAAAGAGGACTTGAGCACAAACCAGTCTGACTGTAACTACATGTCAACATCACAAGCAGGGGGGAGAAAAATTTATGTTCTGTGTAATAAATTTCTAAAGTTTGTCCACAGTCCCATAAGCTTTGCTGGCGGAGGCGGGATTTATGACCTATACTGCAGCCCACCAACAGAGGGTGCTGTTCTCAGAGTGGCTTCACCCAGCGAGGAGGCAGACTGTCCATTCTATATACAGTCTATGGTGGAGAAATAAAACAAAAGAAACAAACTAGCAGGTAACAACACCGCTAGAGGTGCTCCACGGCCTCTGTGAAGCTTACGGAGCTAGCATGCGCTACTTCCAGTTTTTTTCCTCAGTTTAAAATTAAAGCATGTGTTTCAAAATAAGGCAAAATATACTTTTTTACTGCAAATGAATATCAGTTCTAAATATCAGTTATCGATATCCTTGATTACTAATAATCAATGTCGGCCCTAAAAAAATGTATCTTCTGTAATCTTAGATCAAAGCTTTAAAGGTACAGTGAGTGAAGTGTGAGTCTCATGTCTGCTAGAGTGGCAGTGAGGGCCTCTCAATCTCACAAGGTATCTCTGAGCAAAGCAGGAGGTATGTGGTCCAAAAAGAGACAAGTTAGAGGAATAATATGGCTAAAAGCTTCAACAAGAGCTCCTTTGATCTCACACTGTATAATCAAGGCTGTGGAAGCTCTGTTAAATCAGTGAAAGAGAAATAAAGTGGTAGATTAGCTAAAAGTCCCTCTAGTCCCTATTTAAAGACTTCTAAGAGCTACTTCAAAGAATTAATCTGTGATGATTGAATCATTTTTTAAATCCCTGGGGGGTGAAGCAATTTCCCATGTTTTCACAACGTGCAAAACAGTGGCCTCTTATTGTAACCAAAACTACTGTGACTGCATCAGCAGTTCATCCTCCATTCATATGGTAACTTGGCTCCTCCTGGTTCTTCATCCATGGTCAGTGGTATTCACGTTACTCCAGCAGAATCAAAACCCTGTTTAAAACTAGATTCTCTTTCAGATCCTCTTTTTAATACCTTTACAGTCCTTCTTGATAAATCATTTGGGGACCTTTCTTCTGAACTTGTCAAGCAGCTTAGAAGGAGTTAAACAGTTGTTGAGGAGTTGTAAGAAAAAATACCCTTGGTGAATCAAAGCCTGAGGGTCAAATAAGAAGAACTTAACAGATGGGCTTTCTTGGTTGTAAAGGTTTGAGCTACATACTGTTTGAACACCAGAGCTAGTCCCTGCCTGTCCGTGTTTGCTAGAAGTTTAACTTGTTGTTCTTTTCACGCTCTGACAAAGTTGTTTCGATATGCTTGTTTTCACAAATAAAACTTCTTACTCTGAGCTCTAAGTCCGATTTTCTCATCTTGTTTTAGTGTTCACCCTTCTCATGTTTCAAGATTTATGTCAAAGGTTAGTGACATATTCTAATAAACTCCAAGATCGAGCCTTGTCATTTTGTGAAGATCAGCCCTGGCAGTGTTTTTTAAAACTAAGCGTGAACGTAGAGTCTGCTGCTCTCCAGCCAAACAAAAAAAGGCTGTTTGTCAAGTTCTTTTGCCCTTTTGACATTTGCTTTCACCACAACAAGCTGCATCAGCAGAAATGTGCCCACCCCCGTGTAACACCCCAGAAGGGCCCAGACTTACTGCACAGAACTCTTCGAAGGATATCCTGCCGTCTCCGTCCTTGTCTGCGTTGATAATGGTCTTGTCCACAATCTGCTGGAGCTGTGTGTCCTTCAGGTTATTGCCCACCATCATCTTCAGCACCTGGAAGAGCTCACCGTTCGAGATGTAGCCATCTTTGTCCATATCGTAGATCCTGAAAGCGACTGTGGTGCAGAGTTTGGCATGAGGAAGGGAAGAAACAAAAGCCAGGAGAATCACTCAGTTATGCAGCTTCACTATGAGAGCTCCACAAGTTCTGATCTGCATCTCAACTTTCTCCCAGTCTTTTTGTATTGAGAAATGTTGATTGATTGCCTACTACTAAAAACAGCACATACAGTTAGTGGGGGTGGAGGGGCATTTTTTATCAATCAATGAGATTTATTGAGAGCTTTAAATTAGGTTTTAAATGTTCAGAAGAGCTTGGATGTTGTTTTAGTATAAGCTGTAATGTCAGAGCGGTCCAGGCCAGTCACAACTATACAAACAAACAGCATAAAATTCAGCTCCAACTTAAAGCTGCTGGAAACCATTAAAGAGGGGCTTGAAATGATCTCCTCACGATGGAAATATTCAAAACCAGGCTGCAGGATTTTGAACCATTTACTGACATAATTGTAATCGTTGTCTACAGGAGGAAAATAATCTAGAGAGAGGGAGAAAACAAAAAGGAGGAAAGGGTTTGATTTGGCAAATATCCAAATCTAAAACAAACTTACATTTCCTGGAAGTAAACATCTACATGTACATCACCAGAACAAGATAAAATGTGATGTCCTCCTTTGCTTCAGTTTATCAGCCTTTCATTAACTTTGTATGCTGCTCAGCGTCTGTTTATTGTTTAGGAGAGTGATTTTTCTGTTGTAGCAGTATGGTGAGGTGACACACAACACAGGGACCACAAGGGAGACAGAGTCTCAGTTGTGCTTAGTCCCAAAGCAGCTGAATGAGCAGACCTTAAACCAGCACTACCCCCTCCGGTTACGCGTGGTTTTGATGAGGTAGAGTTACTCACATCGAAGCTTCTGTTCTTTATCCCCCTTGACACTGAACTGTGAGACTCCTTCGATGAATTCTGGCAGAAAAGAAGAAGAAAATCAACAGTCTGTGGGTTTTAGAGCTATTCAGGCTTTACTCTCCTAAACATCGTGACAGGATGTGGTCATGTCCTGTCACATTTATTTACAACACTGTCTTATTTAATGAAGAGAGGAGCTTCACCATCATTGTATGTGTGTATTTGTGTAGATAAGGTATCTGCTACAAATAACTTTTTACAGGAAAAAAGTTCAGAGCTGTTATGTGTGCTCAAATATCACTTAATGTGATGCCAAAGGTGTAAAACTTTATTGAAATGAAAAACATGACCCCTGAAGGACATATTAGAAAAAGACAGAGGTACTTATGTCGAGTCAATATCAGGGCAGAGGATTATCAGGGCTTGGAAGTTAAGACCGGTATCAACACACAAAGAGGAGACTATTAAAAATTGTAATGAAATATATCAGCTTTTGTCTTTTTCTAAAACTGTGAACTACAAGAATAAAAAAAAGCTGTAAATTATTCATAAATAATTCATGTAAAAAACTGTCATAGTCGCCACAAACACAATACAAAAGTTCAAGTACACAATACTTATTTCTTCAAATTAATATCTGCTTGCATGAAAGCTAAAAAAATGTGTGCAAATAGAATTATTTATTCAAAATCAAGTGTTTTTCAGATAGTACAGTGTGTGCCGTGTCTGCTGTGCTGACAATTGTGGACTGAGTTCTTGTCCTGGTCCAATGATACTTGTTGAGCACTCGCCTGAGGATGTTTTGTGCTGCTGATTTACATATTGGCAACATAAGAACGCATATACTTACAAAACCGGTCTTATTTCACTCATTCATTGTTGTTCCTGTTTTTTTGGTTCAGTTTCCTTTGACTCAGTTTAAACCAGTAAAAAATAATTTCTGCTATTGGTTTCAGAGATATTAACATGACAGTTGTCTTAAAGATAAAACTTTGACACTAAACTGAAAAGTTTTTTGTGGTCCCTCTGGCTAAATAATCTTGATCCTATATATACATACATGAAGGCACAATTTACTCTCTCTTACAAGCACGTGGATATAAAATTAACTACAGATTTGATCACTCTCGATTATGTAAGAAAATAACTCCTCAACTTGGTTGATCCAGTTTTACAGATGTACACTTTAAAAAAACGAGTAGTGAGTTTGGTACCTTTGCAGGGACATTAGTGCCTTGATCCCAAATATTAGTCAGTGTTTCCCCTACATTCATTCAGCAGCGATGCACCGCTACAATTTTGCCACTAAAATTTCACATGCTTGTTAATATCAATGCGCTATCAGTAATTTCTCTTCACACTGTGTGAGCACAACAACACACGTAATATTTGACTTGTTTTGAGTCATCAACGAGCCCATCAAATCCTGTTGGACCCCCCACCCCCAACCACAGAGGTGCTACTGCTGAGAAAAATTCTTGAAGAAACACTGTTAGTTCAGTACGTCCAACTTTACACAGTTCATTCACTCTGTCCGAATTTGAAATAAGGCCCACAAAGATTTGAATTGATCAATCAACATAAACTATGGGAGTGACACTCTCCAGTAACACTGAAGGGAGTCTGAGAATAGTATTCAGATAAAATATGAGAGAGAGCCAATTGTCCTGCAGATACACCAGCAGAGTTTGTTACTTACCTTTAAAGTCCACCTCCCCGTTCCCATCTGTGTCGAATATGTCGATAACCCTCTGCACCAGCGGGTTCTGTTGCAGTTCTGGCAGGGACATGAACTCCTCCACGCTGAGAGAGCCGGAGTTATCTAGGTCGAGTTTCTTAAACCTCTTCCCTAGCCTCTTAATCTCATCAGCATCAACTAGACAAAGACAAAAAAAAATAGAGAGGGAGAGAAGATAATTTCTTGGACATAAAGCTCAAGTAGTTTAACCTGAATCATCAAAACTGGAGGAAAAAGGTAAGGTTTGTAACTGCAGTGGCCCAAAAGCTCTCTTAGTCTAACTCGAGGAGAAAGGGAAGACTCCAAGTGTGAGCAATGATGCTGCACCTGCACAAGCGATACTTGAATATTCTTGCTAACACCTGCATAAAAAGTAGCCATAAATGTTCAAAGCTCACACCTAAAAAGTCAAGGACAAAACTTTACAACTACACCAAACCTCGCTTATTTCTCCAAGCTGCAGACACAAACTCTATTGTTGCATTGAGAGCTGGAATGAGAACTGTAGAGAGCACTCAAACTGCAAATTTAGTAATTAAAGCCCTGGTGCTGCTCCTAGACTGCCCCAGAGAAGCCAGGGAAAGGTGACAAACCTGGAGCTGAGAGGAAGCAACAGAAAAATGAACACTCAGCCACAAACTTACAGTTTCTGTTGTCAGCCTGTTTTTTTTTATCAGGAGCAGTCTGGATCTTTCGTTCCCCTGCCATAACAAACAGTCCTATATCTCTCTGCTGGCTGTGCTGAACAATGATGAAGAGTAATCCAGAAAGTCATAACAAAGCCAGCTGTTAATTACTATATAAGCTCATTCACACATGGTCACATGATCCCATTGGCCAACCACACACTACCACTTTGCTTTAATCCGGGGTCCTAAATGACATGGGCTATCTATTAATCTTAATACCAGGCTCACAGATTTATGAGACTTAAGATTTCGGCTCACTCTTGTTCAGGTCAGGTTGGCTCACCTTCTTGAGGACAGCAGGTTCAGGTGAGCAGCACCAGGAAAAGATAAGACTGAATAATCAACCATTTTCATCACAAGTCAGTCAACCTTGCAGATGCACACAGAGGAAAAAAAAGATGATAATGTGTGACAAAATCGTTCAGATCCAAGAGGAAGCGACCAGATTTTTTTCAAATCATTCGGCATCTTTGCAACATGATAAAGGTGGGTGTGGGCTGTGTTTTGGGTTTCACACATTCAGACATACTGTGCTACCTCAGCTCAGTGACTAATGAGAGTGTGACCACAGTGGAGGAGAAAAGAAAGAGAAAGTGACAAAGACAGACTAAGAGAGAATGAGTTGGTCCAAACACAAACCAGACAGCAGACTCCTGAGGTGGTCACAACTTGTGAAGACACTGGTAAAGGGCAGTCTGTCTTAACAACCTCTGTGTTGCGCTTCAGTTTCTGCACTTATAATAAGCATAAATGCAGTGTACACCAACTTCCCTCCATACGCATTAACACCACTGTTGCTGTGCTTGTCCTTGACTCAGAAAGCAGTCATGTATTATCCACCTGATGAGTAAAAAACTGTTTGAAGGATTCTGATATTGAAACTAACAAATGTTAATGATGACAGCTCGAGTTTTATTGGACTGAAGGTGTCATAAAACTGTGGAGTACAGCATAAATCAAACAGTTACAATGGAGCAAACACGTGAACTTCTTGTTTTAAGCTTAATAACCTCCTCAGATAGGAACAGGTTTGTAGAAGAGAACAGGCATTATAAATCTGACACCATCTCACTATTTAAATTTTCTAAGACAAAAAGATATCTTATATGTAAAAGAATTGGTGAGAAAAATAGAAAAGACAGTCACAAAAATACTGTACAGTTGTCCAATAATAATAATAAATAGTGACGAAAACGCTGAAATCCAACTGATCAACTATTTTTCCTGCTTTTCCATGTGAGTATTTGCAGATTTTGACTCTTCCATGAGTGTAAATTGAATCTACTTCCACGGTAGAGTAGGGATGGGTGATAAATTATTGTTCACTATTATTGTCAGAAAATTTGCCATGATGAAGGCGATACATGCAAGTCGATGACATAAGCGCGAGCAATGGACTCGCAGCCATAGCACACACAGAGCAGAATAACAAACAAACATGACTGAAGGTAATGAAGAAGACATTTCTAAGCAGCTTGTTACTCCACATGAGGGATTTCCATCAAGATAAGAAGAACTTTATTATTAATCCCTTAAGGGAAATTCAATAAGATTGGGGTTTAGACAAGTGCAATCAGGTATGCCTGATATCTAACAGTGGATCTGCTGCTGCTGTTCACTCTGTGCAATAAGGTTTTTCAATAAATGATGAAAATGTTTCATATTTTACTAATTTTCTCAATAACCTACCACTTAAACTTGTAGTTGAGTATCTTATTTGACTCTGACAACTGGTGTTCTCAAGACAGAATGAGTCAAAAATATAGATTGGAATTATAATGTTTTTGATCGGGACTTTCATTGTTATTGTTATCACCAGATTGGCAAAACGTTTCATTTTGCCATCTTCTACATCTTTTACCAGTTTCTTTCAATCATTTTTAGCCCCTTCAGGTTTGCACAGCATCCACTTGTGTCTTTTCTGATTTGTCCTAAAAATGTGTCACTCTTGTGTCAATAATTCTAGTGAGTTTGTAACTCACAGGATCTTTTAAGAATAACATTACCACTTATTTGTGGAGACTAATGACGATTGGTAATAGGACTGGACCCACACATGAAAAACAAAGTGATTTACTGGAGAAAAAAGAATCAGGATAACTTGAATTCCCTTACTTATTTTATCATCCTACCTGACTGCAGCATACAGAATCTCTGAGTAATACCTGGATTCAAATATACCTCTAACTCATGTTCTGATGTTTCTTAATGGATTATACTTTTAATCATCTTCAGCATCCACATCAGCCACTTAATAACTGTGTGTTGTTGAGCTGCACCTAGTAAATTTAATTTAAAGCTCCTCAGCTCCGTGATTAATAGGAGTTTTCCCCCCGTGCATCAAGATGAAACATAGCCCGTTCGCCGAAAAAGCATATTTGTTATGCCCTGTCTCGTGTGGAGGATTTTCTGCAGGCACAGCAGATTAGTTTGCAGGTTGACAAGTTTGTTTTTTTTATGTACATCATGAATCTGCTCACACAAAATCTGATACACGCCACAGGGTTTCTGTGTCCACTTGGTGCGAGTTATCAGAGCCAAGCACCAGGCTGTCCTCTGACACCAAACACTTCCTTATCAGCAGCAGCCTGCTTCCTGTTCTCGCTGCACAACACCAGCTAGGTTCGTGGCTGTTCAGGCTGTGCTCAGGGCATCAATGCCTCAGATGACCAGCATACAGGCTTAAGTGCACAGTAGGACTTCTTTAAAATCAAAGCTCTTGAATTATAGTACCCTATAGCAAAAGTCAGAGTTAAGTGTGAATAAATGTTTGTGTGATTAAGGGCTCCTGAATGCCTCCTTCAGAAACACACACACCCAAAATTCTGCAAGCTGGTGCAAAACCAACTAAGCAGGACAAGTGAAAGAGCGGGGGGCATCCTTTTTGTTTGCCAATACTTCTGCATTGGACGCTTTTCAGCCACATTACTTTGGAGAACAAAAAGACACATAATGATATATACATATATATATATATATATATATATATATATACACACACACACACACACACACACACACACACACACACACACACACACACACATCTTTAAATAAATACTTTAATGTGTCATTAATTAATCAAAATGGGAATTAAATAAATAAATATGTTATTAATTTATTAAAATACCAGTTCATTCAATGTTAAACATCTGTCTCGACTTAATGTGCCGGGTAACCAATCAGGTGTTAGGATCCGCCCACTAACTTTGATGGGTGAGTTTGACAGATTGAAATAAATTCATGAAGCACTGCAACACAGGTCCATGAAATCATTAACTAAATAGTGACATAATCATATATGTTTTACATTGAATGACATGGTAATTTAATAAATTAATGACACATTTATTTATTTAACTCTCATTTTAATTAATTAATGACATTTTTAAGTATTTATATTTTCATTTAGTCTCTTTTTATCCTACATATATTACAGGTTAGAGGACGCTCTGACACGTCATTTCTGTGGCCCTTTGAGCAGAATCCTCCTCAGTCAGCAAATGTTTATGAAGGTCTTAAAACTGACTAGCTGACACAGTTTAAAGTCTGTTTTAGGACCACACACAAAAAAGAAGAAAGAGCCGACTGAACTCACAATAAAGACTTTTCTAAATGCAGCTAATATATAGACTCTTCATTTGAAATATCAGATTGTCTTCCAGTGCAAAGTCCTTCCATTAAAAGCAGGAAAATTAGCTTAGACTGTCCTGATCAACTGCTTTACAAGTACAAACTACCACCTTCTTTTAGTTTGCAGCCAAATCTCCAACTGCAGTGTGATGACAGGCGCCAGAATCTGTCCAACAATAACACAACAATCCAGTTGGGAGGATTGTATTCTTACAAGTGGAGTAACTGAATTACATTAAAAAGGGAACAAAGTGCTTTTGTAACACAGGACGGCTGTGTGCTTGAAATGTCTGCACTGGATGGAAAAGTGTTTGGCACAAGTGTGAGAGCTGAGGAGGGACGACACAGACACTGTTGCAGAAATGGTGAGCTCGTGCACATGAAATTGTTTCATCTTTGTAAATTCCCTGTCTGGTTTTGGCATGTTTCTGCAAATCTTTATCGTTTCTACATAAAAAAAAAAATTGATGTTAGATGCAAGTTTGATATGAAAACGCTTAATAAAATCCTGCAAAAGAGACCTTGTTTCTGCTGATCACAATTCTTGCAGAGAAGATGGAGGAAACAAATGTGTTTTTAACTTCAGTGTCAGGCCCTGGCCTTTGTGTTTGAGCCTTTGGCAGCACAGACAGCTGCAATGAAGTGGGCGATGCTGCAAACTGACACTCAAATGCACACCCCTGTCCCCTGGTGCTAGTTAGAATATAGATGAAAGCGCAGAGGAGCAGCAGGTTTTCCATCAAGAAATGACGAACTGCTGTCAAATCTACAGTCACATTCTTTTATGGTGGATTTTTACAGACAGTCTGACATTCAGTGCAAGACTATTCTGGAAAAACATGTTTTTAAAAAGAAGACTGGAGGTTTGCCACAACATAATAGAGAGGTAGAATAATAAGTTCAGGAATGGTTATTCATTTTATGTAATGCCTGAGGGAGAAACCATCCAAAATCTTTCATATGTGAAAGGAACAGTTTTGTGAGAGGACTGCACAGTCATAGAGGCTCCTCGCACCGCTATGCTAATGAAGCGCTCTGAGGGAGACCCAGTGTAACTGTGAGATGATTATGATAATCTCATACACTCCACCACAGAGCACACACACACTTTTATAAACACTGTATGCACCCTCAACTGTGTTACTAGGCAACTGGAATCTGTTAGCCCCCCAAAGTTGCCCACACAAACAGACACAGACACAGGCACAGACAGGAAAGAAGGAGGAACATTGGAACAATTATTTACAAGGTAGAAACAAGAAAACATGTTCACATGCATGTCATCAACATGTGGAGGAACAGAGGAGACTCAGACAATGTCTGTCACACATACACAGGCATTACTTATTAGAAAAACACAGTATTGGTAGCCAAATACATGGACTTCCTTTTGGTGCCTTTTCCAAATCTCATTCAACATGTCCCTCTGTACTGTTTGTGTTGCTTTCCTGTATGTTTGGTTTCATTGTGCGATCATAAACTATTTATAGGCTACACAACTAATTGAAATATCTTTATTTAGGCAGGGTTCCTACGCAAGTATGTCAAGCATGGAAATAAATTTGATCAATTTCCAGGTCTTAAAAAGTATGAAAAATGAAAAATAAAGTGCGCAAAAAATATTTATGTTTCCAGACTAGTGCTGGACGATAATTCGATAACAATATATATCGATCGATAGACGTGTGGTGCGATAGAAAAAAAACGGGTCGATAAAAAGTTCGATAGAAAAACACAGTTTCCCTTTCTTTTTCATCATAGCCTATCATGTAGCTTTTACTACAGTCATTACTTCCTCCCAACCAATCACAAACGCAGACCCAGGTACGCTACAGCACCAAGCCCAGCCCCTCTCAAACCTCAACAGACAGCACGTGTATTAGAAAAAAATGTTACAGCAAGGAGAAGCGGAGGAAATTGTCCCGAAAAAAGGTTTCAGTAGTTCACCAGCATGGCAATGTTTTGGTTTTTACAAGTCTGACAAAAAGCGAACAGCGGTCGTTTGCAAAATTTGCAGAGAATTAGTAAAAACCAAGTCTGGTAACACAACCAACTTGTTCTACCATCTAAACCGATCGCACCCGCAGGAGTACGAGCTGTGTCGGCCGCGCCGCGGCTCCACGTCGTCGGAGGAGGAATCCTCTGGAACCGCTGCCAGCACCAGCACAAAGCATGTGAAGCAGACCAAACTGGACTTCGTTTCTTGCCAAAATACGACAAAGCGTCCAAGCGGCATAAGGACATCACCCATGCAGTGACATGCTGCCAATAACTACCGTTGAAAAGCCTGGCTTCGACCAGCTTCTAGCCACTCTCGACCCGCGATATGAAGTGCCCGGCCGCAAGTATTTCTCAAACACAGCGCTTCAGGCATGAAAACGGGTCAGGGGTTGAAAAGCTGAGAAGGGTGCGGAGGAAATACGTTCCGGTGTTGTGCTGTAGAATGCACCCCTGCATCCCGTCCACTCATTAGCTTCTTAAAGTGGAAGAAAATGAGCTCATACGCGAGTATTTGGATCATGGCTACTAGCAGGGGGTGCGTTCGGCAGGGGTGCATTCTACGACACAACACCGGCGTGGATAAGTCCTGCTTCTCGTGCTCAGTTTGCGTATTAAGTCAATCATATGATAATTAAAAAAAGAAATCTCCCGACCCCGGGAGACACCAGGCTGTGGGCAGTTTCCCACACAGTTAAAACTGGTAGTATGCTATTCCCACCTAAAGCTATTCTGTTTATTTATATATTTGTTTGTTTTGTATATTTTCATCAAAAGACTATTTAAATATTTATTTATCAGATTTTCTGGTCACTTTAGTCTTTATGTTTGTCAGTATTTACTGACGTCACTCAGGCCACTTAAGTTGATTTCTTTTTTTTTTTTAAAGTTCTTTTTTAAAAAACTTTCAGTTGTGGTAAAAAATAAATAAAAAGGTGGTTGAATAAAGGTTTGAATTTGATTTTAGTGCTTGTGTGTTCTTTATTAAAAGTAGGTCATTAAGCAATAGCATAAAACATCCAGGGCTGCAATTAAAATATATGTTAAATAATTATAATAACTATATCGATAATTATCGATATCGATCAATATGATATATTTTTTATCGATATGCTTTTTTTCTATATCGTCCAGGCCTATTCCAGACTATTACCACAGTTCTAAGATACGACTTTCTAAAATAGAAAAGTAGGTATTTCCAAAAAAAATTCTGAAGATTAGGGTATAAAAAAGTATGGGAATTCCAACTGTGTAAGAACCCTGCTTAGGGCACAGTAGATCTAAATCACTGTATTACAACAGCAGCATTTTTTCTTTTTGATTTAGTGAAATAAGTGGCAGAGAAAGTTGAATTTGAATTTGATACTGTAATGTTGCAACGATGCTTTGGTCTATCAGTCTTGTTTAATGGGTGGAATCAAAGATGCAAATTCATTGCACTTAGAAATAATGTTGCTCCTCCAGAATTACGGCAGCTGTTGGAGAGGTAATGAATGTTTGTGATGCAAGAAGGATCCCTTAAATTCACAATATTGCTCAATTTCCATATCATGCTGCCTTGCATATCTCAGGGGCTGGAGTTTAACTCATGGGGTGTTCCTCTAAGGTATCAGTTAGCCACTGGTCTTCAATTTCAGGGATTCTTTCCATTTTTTTACTGCCCCTGTTATCTATTTTTTCTATTTATCTCCTCTTTAGCTACATGAAATAATAGGCTGAGCTAGAATGCAACTAGCTAAAAACTACAAGTTCAGATAAAGGCATGGAAAGCTTATCATTAGGAAAGGAATGATGAGGTTATTCTGTGTCTGGCTCAACTTATGGATTTGTCCCTACATCATTTTATATATCTATACTAGTGGGTATGTAATTGGCTGCAAGCTGCCACACACCAAATATTTTCATCCCAGCAACATAACTAGCACATCAGTCAGCTTTTTTTCCAGCTATCCATTAGACAGCAGCACATAATCTGCTAAGTGCCAATGGCTTTTCCTCCCCGTTTTTGTTTAATTATCAAAACACAATGTTCCCAAAATGTCATGAATGAATGTGTCCTTCTCAGCACGCTCAGCCGTGCACATTAACGGAGACATGTGACTGCATTAACATGGCGAACCAGAGCTGAGACATGCAGGGGAGGAGAGAGACATATGCAGAGAAGTTGGCATGTTGCTGATAATTATAGCCAGAGCCTGCTGTTCATAGCCCCCCAAACACACATGATAAGGTACGAGGGAGGATAAACATGAGAAGGTTACATGGCAGCTCAGTAATTATATGAGTTTGACACATGACACTGTGCCAGTTAGCATAATAGGGATGTACTGAGCCTTTGAGGGTGGAGTGTCGTCTTGGCAACACATCAAGAGGACAGCAGTGTCAGGCAAGATAACAATACAATCTGCATGTATCAGCCATTATTATAAAGAGCTCATGATTACCGGTTTATATGGTCTTCTGCTGTTCTAAAAAGCCGAACAAAGAGATATTTTTTGTTTGCATTGTGGGAAGTTCAGGATCTGACAGTTTTGTTTGGTTTGACTCTTGGTACCTCAGTCTGTGCAGCTCCATTTTAACCATTCCAGTCCTAAACCTCTGAACCCTTAAAGTGTTCAGGGTTGAACCTGAACCTAAAACTATATGTAGAATTTCTGTTTTGGCTTGCCATCAATGTCAGAGACATTATTGGTGGGCCTTGTCACCCCATTGCTGAGCAGCATCAGAGGCAGGAACAGAGGAGAGACAGGGCAGTGTAACTGTTGTAGCCAACAGGACAGAATAATGTAGTGTGTGTGCATGTCAGCATGTGTGTGATGTGAGGGTGGTTTACGCATCCTGCTGCTCATGTTCTGCCCTAATTCTGAGTGAACTCACACACTGGGACAGTGCTACCAAAATATAATGTACAAAGACAAAGCTACAGCAGAATCTCAGAGTAAGAAAGGCCTCTGACACTCAAAGGTCCTCCAAAGCGTGGCACTACATTTGTCTTTAGCTCAACAGTTTAAATGGCATCATAATCTATGTTGAGGCAGTGAAAGGTGCAATGTGTAGTATTTGGCAGCACAAGCAGAGAATAACTGGTACAAATAAAAAAAAGGCTCTTATTTCACTTGAGTTTGTTTATATCACTTAAAACCTGTATCACTTTTCATTCTCTTCACTTACAATGCAATGTGGTTGTTTCATATCTGTAAAAAGGAGGTGTTTCAGTTACACAAACTATTGCAAACACCTTTTCTGTTTCTCATTCCCTCAGTCTTATCTCATTTGACCCATGGGTAAGAGAAGGCTGTACAGCAGCAGCAGCAGTAGTGTGTACTCTTCCAGCACTCAGTGCATTAGACTGATTGCTCTGGCTGCTCTGGTAATGTACAGCTCACCCGCATGGGCTGATCTGAGTCCATGTTCACAAAGTAGGGTAGCACTCTGACGGTGTGTATTTTTAGCGTTACTGTCATGAGAAAACCCCCAACTCAACAAACCATGAGAGGCTCTGGCTCCCGCCCTCAGGGAAACCCCATAGCAACAAGGAACTCCAGCAAACCACTGCCGTTTATTTTGGGCGTCTGCAGACAAGCCTGTGATGGTTTCAGGCTCATCGTGCATTTCTGTCAGAGCGTGATGTGTTGAAGTGTTTTTATGTGTGAGTGTGTGTGTGAGTGTGTGGGGCTGAACAGAGTGGGCATGTGGCTGCACTTTAGCAAAGTGTATTTGCAGGTGTGCGTCTGTGTGCTTTTTGTGTCTAATTATGCACACTCCCACAAGTGGGCCATTAAATTTTGCCTGATCTGTGCTTCACTAAGCAACCACAGTTCAACACTGCATGAACAAGTGGATACAGACGTAACATCTTTATAAGCATTAAATTATGACCTCAAGCCTTGCTGAGGAGACAGACTACCTTCTTTATTTTCCAAGTATAAATCTAGTGCAGGGTTGTCTTGTGTCAGGTGTAGGTCAGCAGTTGTTGGACTGAGTTGGTTCTTCTCTCATTCAGGGCAGAAAGGTTGAGGTAACTCTTTTCAGCCAGCAGGCTAAAGCTAATTTTCTCCCAGCTAATACTGTCTGCCTGTCCAAACACTTGATGAGCTGAACAGCTGCTGTCGGCGGAGGGTGAGGGAAACGGGGGGAGGCCAAAGAGAGTTCAAGTCAGAGAGAGAGTGAATGGACTAAATGGGGGGGAAATATTGGACGATAGAAGAGTGAGAAAAGCAGAAGAAATACACAGGTGTAAAATAAAAAAGAAAGAAAAACAAAAAATAAAAAAAAGGACATACGAGGGACATATAAGGGAGACAGACAGAAGGCAATAAGGAGAAGCAGCTATAAGAAAAGACAAAAGGGTGAAGAAATGAGGGGGACACTGTAAATATCCCAGACTGAATGCACAGGTCCTTGATGGGTTCAGTTCAGGGTCATACACCGTCTAAAACCACCACCACACACCAGGGTGGCATAATCCCTAAGTTGGGGGTGGGGAGGGGGATGCCAGGAGGGCCTGGCAGGCCAAGGTCCCTTCCCCGTTAATGATACAGTAGTGCTATCTGAGTACTGACAGGCCAGGGCTCTGCTCACTCTGACAACAAGTGTCATTGATGTTTGTGTTTGTGAGTGTTTTCTTTGGGTTACTGTGTAGCAATCTCCTGGGTGACACAAGGACACAGGTTACAGGCTACGTCTTACTTAAATGAGTTAAAAACCTTCTGTCGTCACATCACTGACTGAAGAGGTTGGATTTTTTTAGTTTTTATTAAGAGTGAAGCTTTTGGAGAAATGGATCTTTTCAGTAGGGGAGAGTGGGGTAAGATGAGCCATTTTTCATATTTTAGATGACTACATCAAGGCAATCATAGTTTTGTCTCTAACTAGTGTATCTGCATATATATCGAGATGTTGTGCATCCCTGTAAACCAACAGAATGAGTGTAAACATAACTGTCTTGATAATATAGCATGCCAAAAAAGTGGTCTCCTATGGTTAACTTACCCTGTGTATGGGGTAAGTTGACCATAGGAGCGGGTGAAGTTGAGCCGTTTCCCTACTACCCCCCCACTCTCCACCCCATTCCTCCCTCACCTTCTCTCTCCCTAAATAACAGTCACTTCTTCACATTCATGAGTATTTTTATCTTTTATATGCTATCCAACAAGTATAATAATTCTTCTTATTGCATATAACTGCTAAAAAGCAGTTTTGTAAAGAAAAAAAACATTTTAACATGAGAATGTCTTTAAGTGATTCAGAACACTCATAGTTGTATTTTTGGAAAGAAAAAGTAACACATTTCAACAATCTGAACTGAAACTCTGATCCTTTCATCCTGCTTCTTTACTGGAGCCACTGGCTCAACTTACCCCAGAACTACTGTTGACTATATTAGTCCTCTAAACTAAAATGGTGGACTTTTATGCTAGGTTTTTGACCTCATGTTGTAGCTCACAGATACCACAATTTATGATAAAACAAATTTAAAATGATCTTTTTTGGTCTGAACACAATTCTAATAAAACATGACAGACTAAATTCACTTTCAAGATTGAAAAATGTTTTTTTGTAAATAAATGTCTAACCTAGGCCTGTCGCGATAATCAATAAATCGCCTTATCGCTCGATAAATAAAAACGAGGTCGGTCATTTTGCCAGCCTCGATAATTGACGTGCGTTTGTTTTCCTCCTCTCTCGCTACCAAACACGCTGGATGAGAGAAGAGGTCTCACTCTGCGCATTGTTCTCGGCACCTGGGGGCGTTGGCTCTATAGCGGAATGAACGGAGTTAGTGAACCCTCCTGTCAGTCATTCAGTGTCTTTGTCACGAGGGGGCTGGCGCGCACAGGCACACAGACACAGACTTTTGGATACAGTGCTGCAAGTGAGCGTCGTGAGTGAAAAGCAAGCTAACAGAATGAACCCGACAGCTTTGGTGTCTAAACCGAACGCAACAGCCCAAGTGTGGGAATATTTCGGCTTTAAACTAGTTTTGTTTTCGTCAACCACAAAACTCGTGTGTGTGCGCGCGCGCGCGTGCGTGTGTGTCTGTGTGTTGGAGCAGCACAGCAGGCTGATGAGAGCTGTCAGAGCGGACTGAAGCTGCTCCTATATGTTTAGCGTTTAACTGACTGAGTTTTGCAACTCTGTTCGTCATTTTCGTCTCGTCCCATCAACGTAAACGCACTTTCGTCTAGTCACATTTTAGTCATCTCCGACTTTTGTTTAGCTCGTCAACGTTACGTCTTCGTCGTGGGAGAAAAGGGAAATATTTTAGTCAACGAAAACAACCAGTGTTGTTCTCGTGTGGAAATTAAAGTTTATCACTTTTGACATGGTGTACTCGCATTATTATGCCATATAATATCATTATCTATAATTTAAAAAACGGTGTCAATAATATCGTTTATCGGCGATAATTTGTAGCACAATTATCGTCCAGCAAAATTTGTTATCGTGACAGGCCTAGTCTAACCCCTTCACCCATGTGCTTCTAACCTTCACAGACTCCATGAATTGATGCCCATCTCCTATATAGTTGGTCACATGATCAATTTCTTGTACCATTTCCAAGCAACAGGGGTAGGCTTATCTTACCCTTTGGCTCAACTTGCCCCACTCTCCCCTACTGCTCTTAAATGTACAGCAATATGTTTAAAACTCCCCTGCCCAAACAGTGAAACTATTAACTGTGGTGCTGATGTCTGATGTCATCTTAACTGAAGTCAAAAGTTGTTTAACCGGGTTTTGTATTCAAAAAATTAAAGTCTACATTTTCTCTTTCTTCTTTCCTCGGCTACTCCCTTTGAGCACATCCTATCTGTTAAGCTGCCACTGCGCTCAGCCACAGTCAAACCAAACACGTTGCTCTGATTTGAAGAAAGGTTGAGTCACTCCAAACAGATGCATGGTCCCTTAAAGATACAGAGAGTCCTGTCCTGTCCTCAATGAGCACAAGTAGCACAAGTAGCAACAAACCCCCTCCAAAAGCCACATTCCCCCACAGCACTGCAGGGTTAAATGCTGACATTTAAACCAAACTGAGAAAGAAAGAAAGAAAGAAAGAAAGAAAGAAAGAAAGAAAGAAAGAAAAAGACATCTTCATCTCTGAGGATACATGTTGGTGTATTAGCAGGTACAGAGTGATGGACTTGTACAAAAACTAAACGTGAGTCATTTCTCCTCCCCTCCTGAGAGCAGAAAGATGTTTACAGGGCACACATCTTGTAAACAGGACCATGAAAATTACAAGAGTTGGGTTTTTAGATGAAGCTGAAAACTAGAGCAAGCGAATGTCATAAACACTACAAATCCTTTTTAAAATATATAGATGCTTGTTTTAAATTTAATGTCTTCAATATCTTTAAAAAATGCCCTCTCACACACACATGCTCAAAAGTCTGGATATTTTTCAGCACTATTGTACTCTCCCAGATGTGTAAGTGAACCTGCAGTGTAATATCTGTGTTTGATGCTGTGCTGTCTGAGGGCCCAAACTTCATGGTTATCCAGTACTGGTTTTGGGCCTTGTCTTTTTTTATGCAGGTTTCTTCAGGTTCTCCAAACTTTTTGATTTAACCATGTTATATAGAAAATGAAATGGAAGGAACATTATTCTGCATTAGTTGAGCTATACCTCACACAGTCACTCACAGAGAGATGAGCCTCCTTTAATCTTGACTTCTGAAGACAAAGTCTCTGTGGAAAGCCTTTTACATATTCACTCAGGAAAGAGGGTCAAAAACCACTTCCAGACCCAAACTAGTTTGGGCCATTGACATCATTTTCCCTTATGCCTTATGGTTCTCCTCTTAAAGCCTTCCACTTAATTCTGCATGCCTTGCAAAACTACATGATGCATCACAATATACAACTTAATACTGTTGTACTTAAAATATCAGCTCAGATAAAAAAGGGATGATAAAAAACTTGCTTTGTAAGACCAGCAAACCATTGTAAAATTCATCTTTATCACTCAAGAAAATCAGAGGCAAGGCTCTCCAAACTTCGCAGGCAAAAAAAGACTGAACTAGACAAAAAAAGCTGGAGTGCTACTTCAGTCAACCAATTCATGTACGAGACAATGTAACCACGCTAAAATGTACAAGCTCATATTTTCCAAACAAATTAAGTCTTGTTAAACTGGAAAAAGAAAAATACTTACAATGTGAGCACATCTCCAGGGGATAACTGGCTTCATTTCCCTATAAAAAAGAGGGAGAAATAGTAGAGTGAGTTTCTATATTCTAGTAGGAAACACCTAGTGTGCACCATGGCCATCAAATTATCTGCAACATATTTGAAGTTTTCATTTAAACACATTTAGTCAGATTTGCTTTTTGACAATAGTTTCATTGAGATCAAAAGCCTTCTTGAAAACAAAATGCAAACCAGCTCTCATGAACATATTTCCATGCCCTGAACATTTAAATCCAACTCCATTACCAGTAAAAACTGGGAAACAGTGAGTCTCTTCCTTAATCTTTTCTTAATATGACCTACTGTCCCGCCCACAACACTTAACTGATTAGCTAGAACTCAAATGATCATGTGACTCTTCTGTCATGGAAGTATGAATGGTTTACTGTTTACTTCTGTAAATGGTGTCAAACGTGTTAGTTCATTTCTTATTATTTTACATGTATTAAAACATTTAGGAAGAGTTTTGCTAGCATTTGTAATTCAAAATTAATTTTACTGTCAATGCATATCTATCCAAAATATCAGGTATTGGTCTTATGAACTACTAATATCTGGTACCGGTATTGGCCCAAAAAAAGGAACAGTAGTTGAACCCTACTGCAACTAGTCATGGTCCTTTGGTTGTCTTTACATGTGTGGTGTAAGACAGTCGCAGTCTAGTAGTTCTTGTAAAAGCAAATCATTACTGCTGAGTCATGCTGAGGCTTTCTGCAACCATGCATGAGTTTTTTGACGTGCAGCTCTTTTTATTGTTCAAGGTAAAACATCTGGATCTTTCTGAAACTGCATATGTAAATCCCTCAGATGGCTTTTGTCACAGAGTGTCTGCCAAACACTGCAGCACCTAACAACACCAGCAAAGAGCCACATGTACTTTCTACCATAATATCCTTATACAATTTTTAATCACAACGCTCATTGTTTTTAAATACAAACCTTGAGGCTTTTGCAACATAAATGAGCATTTTCCATACTGGGTTTATCTAATAATATTCAAGGTGTTCATATGTGAAATAAAATTGATCATGAATTCTGAACATTGCTAAGCATTTATAAACCCTTTTGTTCTACTTTCAAGAGAAAAAAAAAAACTGCATCATCATTCAACATGCCCAAAGCTCATTCAACACTTTCCACGGTTTATTTTGTCAACCCCCATAATAACAGATGAATATAAGGAAATGCAGATACAGAATCATTACTCTGGCCAACTGTAGAAATCTTTTTCATTTCAGGGCTTGTGTATTCAGTTGTTGCATGTTTAATCCTTTGTGTATATTTACTCATGCTTGTAAGTCTTTGCATGTGCAAGGAGGAAAGTGTGTATTGCAAACAATTAAAGCCAGACAACAGCCCTGAAGCTACTGTGAACATTTCCATACAATGTGTCACTCAGACCTCATGAAATGCACGGCATCAAATGCTCAATAAACGTATGGGCTCTGTAGACACAGCATGGCAGTGTTGTGTGTGCGCGTGCAAGTGTTTGTGTGTATGGTGTTGGCTCATGTTCAGCAGTCACATCCGCATCCTTTCCCATCCAGCACTGCAGTGTTCACTGAGCCTGAGTCTGATTGTTGGCAGAGTGAGGCTGAGTGCTCAGAGGGGATGCCGGGTTGGAGTCCCTGTTGCAGAGGGGCGGGGAGGATGGGATGACGGAAGGGGGATCCTAGAGCTAAGAGTGGGAGAGATGCTCTAGGCTTGTTATTCATCGACCGGAAATGTTCTGTTGCTCCATCTAGGAATATCAAACTGTGACTGAATTCAAAAAATGGCCACGCAATCTGAACAAGTGTATCCAATAAACAAGTCCAAAGATGAACGATGCGCAGTTTCAAGATCACAGGTGAACTAAATTGTTGCTATCATCAGCTGACAGGTCTAAAAAAAAAAACAGTCAGTCAATAAGATGACAAGTCATGTGACATAAGGCTCAAAACTGCGACAATGACTTTTCAAATCAAAGCCACAGCACTCCAGCTCACTTTGTGAAGAAACGCAAACACTGAGAATGCTGAGGAGATTTGAGTCGAGTCGATGGACCCTTAACAAACTAAAGTACAAAACAGCCTCTTTCTGGTTTACTAGTTTGAAAGTAATAGTCAAGAAACAAACATAGCTCTCCTCCTGCTGTGCTTAAGACTAAAGGATAGAAATACAGGAAAAGACAGTTAATAATTCATGATGTGGGTGACACACAGACACACCAAACACTGTGAACTGTATGGCTACAGTGTCATCCTCTCGCTTATCACAGCACTGCTACACAACAGCAGACTTACATCAGAGAAGTTGTGGTATTTTAAGAGCAGTGAGGAGAAAGAGGTGACACGGGATTAGCCAAGAGAACGACTTAACATTTGACACCCTATCAGGAGAGCAGAGACAACTTGCTACAGCTGAGGAGTGATGAGGAGCGACAAACATGGTTTTCTTTTAGGGACTCACAGGTTTTCAGAGGGGAGTGCATAGTGAAGTGCACAACACATGACTCTACCAAGCAGGGGGTTGGGCTTCTCTTTGACTATGAGGCTCTGAGGGTAATTGTGACATTGCAATACCATATTGATCCTGCATGGGAAAACTTTGTTGGCTTCAACACACAGATGTAACTCAGATAGAGAGCAGCAGCTGCAGCTGTGGAAATCAGCGCTCTCAAGTTCAAGGGAAGGCTATCTCTGCACCTTCAGCATGTAAAAAAGAATAAGGTTGTCGTTCATGTCCTTTTTGGAGGGTAGGGGTGTAGGGGGTTCTTAGGTTTGCACTACAATAAGAAAATGACTTACTCTCACATTTAGAGTCAATAACTTTCTGCTATAGATATCAACATTACACCACAGCAAACAAAGGTGTGGTCAGTGTAAAGATAAAACTCCACAGGACACACCTAACTACCTTACCTGCACCATGCAGAGAAAGTAGGTGGTGTAACACAACATAAACCGAGACTCCTCCTTCCATTCAGTTGTAAAAACGTGTCCCATATTGAGAAATACAGGGAAGCAGCACTCAGAGATTTACTCATGAAACAGTTTTCATAACTGAAGATAATGTATTTGTTTTTAAAGGTGTTAAAAATCTGTGCAAATCACTCCAAAACTCTTTCAGAAAGATCAGAGCCATACCTGCAAAAAGCACGAGTTAAACAAAAAAATAATAATAAAGTACAATAAAGACTGTGCATTCAATCTGCATCATGCACAGCTTTAATACTGCTAGCTACCTTTGTTTGAATATGAATGCCTGTCAATCATCACACACAATGTATGCAGCTCTGGCAAAGCGCAGGCATGTCAAACAAAAAGTAATGAGTGATGTATGAATCTGTCAGATCAGATGAAATCAATGAAATGAGTAATCACACAAATGGTGTTTCACCATAAAGAGTCAAATTGATTTTTTAAAACATTTTAAAACCACTTTTAAAATTTCTATTTTTCTGCTTTCATAAATATGGACTATTTTTTTAAACCTTACAATTGTAAATAAAAAATGTATCAACAAATTATTTCATGAATGAGTCTTGGGAATGCACACTGCCAGTTACATCTCTAATGTCCTCTGTTGTTGAAGTTGCTGTAGGGTCTTTGGAGGTAAAGAGACTTACAGCAAAGCAGATTTGGTGTTGAGGATTACAGGTTTACTAACTAAGGCCTGCTTTGGGTCACTGATGTGGCTAACTTGGGGTCAGAAGTAACTCTCTGTCATGTCTTCTATAACAAACTACTCCCAGCAGCTGCTAATGCTGTTACATAGCTGCTGAAGGAGGGGCTCTAAGATGGGAGGATAATAAAAGTGACGAAAAAGAGGTGACACAATCTTCCATGAACAAAGATGAATATGAAAGGGGGGGGCAGAGTGTGAATGTTTGTGTGAGAGACAGAGAGAGACAGAGACAGAGAGAGACCCATGTTGGCTCATCAATAATGCATGGTTCATTCAGAATCAATTAGGCTTTAGCACACAAAACATGTTTTGCATAATGACAAGTCTGGCACTGTCCCTGGTTCAGCAGCCACACTATGGCCGACCCAAAAACCCAGCTAATAATAGATCTGCAGAACTCAGTCATAGTATGCAGGACTGGAGCACCGAAACCGTATCATGTTCTCACTCTTTAAAATTGGCAAAGTCAAACAATAGGAAGAAACTTATTTGATTAGAAGTAAGTTGTCCTTCTGTGATAAGTCTTCTATAGATTGTAGATAGATGAAAAGCTAGTGAACTTTTTCATTTATCTTTGTTTTGTAGACTGACTCAGGTTTTCACATATAAAGTGACACAAACCATCGGAGGAATCTTTATTCAAAAGCTCAAGACATAAGATCCATCTCAACTTTGGATACATAACTTAGTAGTGCTGGAGGATTAATTGAATTTTAATCATGATTTCGACTTTGGCTTCCTATGATCATAGAGACATTATTACCGAAGAAAAACGATGAATGCGCCGCACTGTATGACATGTATGTAAGTTCCTGTACTGGAAAAACACCTTGAATACATTCCTGTTACATGCAGCTGCAACAAGCGTGTGGCGTGTGTGGATCAATAATATGAGGAGCGAGTGATTGAAAACATGGCAGAAAGGCAGCCTTTGGTTGAGGAAAAAACTAGGACAACTTCAGAGACATTTTGGCTTCAATTTGATGGAGGTTGAGCCAAAGGAAATTGTTTGCAAAGTTAGTCACGCTGTCGTGTCAGCTCCCCAAGGCAACACGACCAACTTCAGGGTTTCCCCTAAAAGCAACTGATTGTGGCGCACTGCCACCGCTACACCTTAAAAGTTAGGTTTAACTTATTATTTTATTTACATATTATATATATTTGGCTCTAACTCGGACTCATATGTATCAATATATGTGTGCGCACATGGGTGCTGCACCGTGGAGCACCTGTGCTGAGTATTAGAATTAGCAATTTATCGTTGGCGATCACAGTGCTGATTGATTTTTATTTTTTTACTTGTTACTTATTTAATTCTGGCTGTTCTTTTTAGTTATATTTAAAGTTATGTTTTGTTGGTTCAATAAATACTCAAGTTTTGACATTAATAAATAACTGAGTTTATTGATTGTGATTTCAATATCAGTCAAAATAATTGTGATTATCATTTTTGCCACAATCGTCCAGCCCTATGAGATTCAAAGGTGAGATTTATCATCTCACCTTTAAATAGACTTACTGCAGGCAGGTGTGCTGGGAACAAATGTACCTTTTCAGCTTACACCTTTGTCAAAGAGATTCAGACTTATACACCTGGAGGCTCCAGTTTTGGGACTAGGTGCTATAGTCAAGGGCACAGTTGTGACATGAGGCAGCAGAAAGAGCAGTACATTCACATCCCTGCTCATTTTTGTTGGGAGGACAAGCTGCCTTTGATAAGAGGCCTTGTTTGCCTAATTTCAGGGCATTGCACATCATTACATTTTCCTCCTTCATTTAAGGTTAGTAAATCTCATCACATGAGGATTTGGGAATGTGAATTTGTTAGTATTAGAGACAACTTGCATAAATCTCTTTTAGAAAATAACAGCAAAAACCAGATCTGAGTGTGTGTGTGGGTGTGTGTGTGTGTGTGTGTCTGTGTGTGTGTGTGTGTGTGTGTGCGTGTGTGCGTGTGGTCCTACTGTGTTGACATTACACTTACTAGAATATGTCTCTGCATTGCTGCCAGCAAATCCAAATCCGTGTATTGTACTAGACTTAAAAAATAAATAAATCAATATTTACTCTGCCAAGCAGACAGGCAAAGGTGTAAGGAGTCAATACTTTTGTCTGCGTCAAAAGCTCTCTCTCACAATTCCTGCCTCAGTTGGTGTTGGCAGCATATTCTCTTGTATGCTAAGCATATCGTTATTTAAGAAGTCTCACTCTACTACTAAATGAACTGGCAAAGTATGATGGGCAGCAAATGTTCAGAATGCTTCCTCAGGCTTTTACGTGGTCATACAGGTCATATATAACTTAAACCACAAGAGCAAGCTTTTGGGGTTGATACTATGAAGTGCACATGATAAATCTCTTATTTCTACAGGAAACCTTAAAGGAATATTCCGGTGTAAATTAAAGTAATGGTCAAACGCACCATAACACTGAGTTAGACCCCCCACTTGAGAGATGAATGTTGCCGACCGCTTGCTTCTCTAGTTATACCAACACAGCAGTCTATGTCTCCGCACACAAACCTCAACTAAAAAGCCACTCTATAGCCACAAATAATGCTCAGAACAGCACCTAACTTCATCAACAGTACATATAGGGTCCAAGCCACAAAACAGCTTTTTAGCTTTGCCTGGTTTCTTTAGCAGAGAGACCAAACACAACTCACCCACTCACCTCTAGCAGCGGCTTGTTTGTGGGGGAGCCCTGATAAGTCAATCACTGAGTGCAGCGGCTCTTTTCCATGAAGTAATAATCATCATAATAATCATTTTTCACTGCTGACGTGGTAGTTCTTCTGCCTTCGTGACTCAGTCTGATTGCATTTCCATGAAGTAATAATCAGAAATGTTTTTCCTTGAGCTGCGAAACTCCGCTGCACTCTGTGAAAGTTTATTGTTATTGTGCGGCCGTTGCTGAAGTTGGTATAACTAGGGAAGCAAGCAGTCTGCAACATTCATCTCACGAGGGGGTGTCTAACTCAGTGTTATGGTGTGTTTGACCATAACTTTATTTTACACCCGAATATCCCTTTAATGAACTATAGGGTGATGTGTAAGCAATGAGCAGTTAAGTACATGAATTTCAAGAACCAATCGTATTCCATTTGTTTTAGTGAAAAAAATCTTCTTTTCTAATTTAATGATCTGCAAGTCCTGCACAATTAATTGCAACTACGATCACAAAATGAGATTACTTGCCCAAAAGGCAGTAATTTGCAATTCAATAATTGTGCATTACAACCGCTCCTCTTTGAGTCTGGTAGCATCCATTAGCTACACTCTGTGACTTTGTTGGTCATGTAGAGTGACCAGCATGGACACCGATGAGCGGGAACATGGTGGGCGAACCGAGAAGAGCAACTGTTATATGGGGATGTTTCAGATTTCGGTATGGCAACATTGGACAAAAAGAAGCGCGGTACCAAAACTTGCAAATTTAAGTGGTTACATGGCTACATGTGACAAAAAGACCAATTTGAATCAACACCTGAGACAGAAATAACAGGTTCATGGAAGTGCAGTTAAAGCTCATGTCTAAGTATGTGTGCTCCAACCATGGGACATTAGCACAGCATAATGCTGGTCCACTGTGCTGATTGTCACTCAGCATGCTGAAGTTCCTTGTCCACACCATCAATGTTATGGACACATCGTCAAAGAGGAAAGCATATTGTGCGAGCATTCTCTCCCTGATAACTTGCCTGCTGGTTGCAGGGTTCAGAGATCACAGCACTCCCCTCCTCCACACAGATGTGTCTGCTCGCCATATAGCCAAGCTTTATGATAAACATTCTCAACCCTCCAGAGTAACCACAAAGTTCAAAGCTGAGCACACTCAAATTAGTATTTAAAAGAATTCAGCCATCCATTTTTTGGCCTAAACAAAAGCCAGGATACAACCAGCTGACACTATATCACTAAAAACCTATTACACTATTACACAGATGAGAGGCAATAGGATATATGTGTGGGAATTGGACTAAGCCGATATAACATTGCAGTCTCCTTCGTCTTCGCACAGGCTTAAGTACTTTCTTTTCTCTCAAAGCATCATTTCTCACATGTAATTCTACTTTACAATTATTACCTGTGTGTGTGTGTGTGTGTGTGTGTGTGTGTGTGTGTGTGTGTGTGTGTGTGTGTGTGTGTGTGTGTGTGTGTTTACCTACGTCTCTCTATATGTGTGCATGTGTGTGTCAAGGATCTGAGCCAGATTAAGAAGTCAAGTGCAAATATGAAAATAATTATCAAAATCTTAGCAGCCTGAAGGAACTCTGGCAGAGCTAATCCTCTCAGCCATTTCCATCCCCTGCTCTGGCTTACCTATAAAGGCTTTTTGAGGCCCCATGATGCTCTGTAAAATAACAATGTCTAATCTTCTTATGCATTAACCCTGTGGTGATGAGGCTATACTGTTTATCAAACTACATTCAGGATATACTATTTAGATTTTTTTACATCAGTCATCCCTTAAGCCCACGCCATCAGTGTTTCATAGTATAAAAAGGGTGGATTGCCCCAGCTGCTCTCTGTTTAGGACACTGCAGACAGTAACATTTTTAATGTGGCTTGTTTTTGTTAGTTTCATTGAAACTACAACTGCCTAATAACATGTCTTTTCAGAGCCATTGCAATGCATGCATCCTCAAAAAAGTTTGAAAGGGTTGGCTTGGCTGGAGGAAAACATTTTAGAAACACGTTTCCTGTTGCTGCTTTCAGTGTGTAAACATTTGGCCCATTGGCTGGGGCCCTAGATGTAAAGATGAACTACTAAAGAGTTGACAAGTGGCCATTACTGTGGCAAAGGTTTTCCCCAAAATATCTGCTTTCTAGATTTAGATGCAAGTTGTTCTCAAAGGTGATCACATTCCTACTTTTTATTTGACTTTCTGTGTACCTTTACTTTTCACAACAATGTAGGAGGTGTGTGTAAGAGCCTGCGGAGTTGTTTTCAGCTCTTTAAGTTGTGACTACTTTAACCCAAGCCTTAGCCTCGCGATTCCCCCAGCATGAGTGGGCACTTTCTACATGTGTAATCAGAGATATTGTTGGCACTGATGTCTAATATGATCACTAAGATCAAATCAGATCTGGCCAATCAACTGACATCCCAGAAAGCTGTCAGCTACCCAAAGCTTCATACAGTAGGTTAGCTGAAAGCAAGCTTTGAGCGTGAGGAGACTTAAAGAGGGAGAGGAACAAGTGTGCCAAAATTCCTGCTTGAAGAAGATCCACACAAGACTAAACAAGTACTGTAGTGTAACACATATCCTGAGGATATTCAAAAAGACATTATAACTTTAAGTTATGGCTTCGATGTACATTAAAACCTTTGCAGTTGCACAGTCATTTGTAATTTAAATAGTGTGTGATGCTAAAGCACATGATTGAGATAGTAAAATGGGCTCCTTAGGACTGTTTGAACACAGCACTAAAATACCCTTTCTAGCATGTGTAATGTAATTTTCTAACATATACCAGAATAAATACAAAACTAGAACGACTTCCTTCCACATCATCCTCAGAGGTACTTTGACCTTTCCAACTTTAAGCACTGTACTGTACAGTCTCCTATGCTTTCAATCCCCCAAACATCCTGTTCCTACCAGTAATTACAGAGGCGAGCTTTAGCTTTTCCAGTCATTGCTGTCAGACGCTGATGCACCAGACAAATAGATTTTTAATGACAAAATGAACTACAGTTTGGCCTGTGTCTGTGACTGACTGTTGGCTCCAGCACAAGCTGAACACTGCAGCGGTGTGCGACGGCCAGAGAGGAGAATAAATCCAGATTGAGTGGGCTGGTTGGAAGTGCAGTGTGGATCACTGGGTGTTGATCATCACTTCTACTGGTGGTTTGCTGTGGCTTTTATCTCTTTTACATTAGCTCCAGCTCGATCCTTATGTGGGTGGTGCTTGATTGCTAGGCAGCATATGGTCTCCTTAGCATCAGATCATTCCACTACATGCTTAAGCAACTGTGCGTCCCTGCCCCCAACCTCCCCCTGCAGCGGAGAAGAATACATTCTGACAGGACATAAGTTGGCACACTATCTGTATGACATGCATGCCCAGAGTGTCGTCCCTCTGGCACAAAGATGAGACCGCTGAGGGGACAAATGGGACAAATTACAGGTAAGCTAGCACTCCTCAGAACACACTGTTCATGTCTCAATCATAAGACAGCAGGAAGCCAACATTTAATATGTTAATTTTGATTCTGTGTCCAGGCCAGGTAATGCTCCAGGTCCTTAGCATGTGTTTTTTTTTCAGGAGCCCTTTTGAATGCATCATAATATGCACCCTCAAAGACGCCAACTTTGATTCATGAGCCTCTGGTATAGCAGCTCACCAACACAGAAACTGTTTTATTGAGTTACTCACTGACATACTTCTAAAACAAGGCCACAGGTGAACTCACTCTCCTACTGAACTGTTGGTGCAAAAGATTTATTAGTTTTTTATGAGAAATCTTGAAATCTGATTTTGTTGAGATTTGACTTGACATTTGTCACATGAGCTTTACCAATAATGAGATCTGAGTCACAGTTCAATGTGTAAGAAGTTACATGACATCTGCTGAAGAACATTTGTTTTTGATACGATAAAATAAAGTTCTTTCTTTCTTTGTCACATGTAGTTATAAGTGCAAGTTCAGAAATGGGAGAAGAATAGTCTCAGTGAAGTTATCCATGCTGTGCTGCAAGTATATGTGGAAATTTATTTTTTATAGTGTCAGAAATTATTGTGTCACAGTCAGTGCTGGTTATTTTAAACTCACTTTAGAGTAATCTTTTGTTATTGTGACAGGTATACAACAAAACATCATCCTTGACTCTTCACTCTGAGCTATATCTGCACACTATTTACTGTAAAAACGGATGCTGAACCAGCATGTTACTGAAAACATGTACAATGACACAGTATAGGCTACTGTATATGTGTCACAGTCCATTTTAGCCCCAGTTATGGGCAAATTGTTTGGGATGAAAGGCAGACCATCGAATAGATGAAAATAAATGACCAGTGATGCAACCAAATTCTACGCTGCTCCCAAAATGAATCAAACTATCTTAAGAAACGACTAAGCAAATATGGATGCACTTCAGACCAGCTGTTACAAAAGTTGGACATTTATTTTACACCACATATAAACCTTAATTGCAATGATTTTAACAGGGGGCAGCTAGTAAACAGATCGCTCCCATAACTGTATGCAGGGCATCAACAATAACAGAAAATTGATGAGTGAGGGTGTGTTTAATCAATAGCCAGTTGGGAAGGAGTGAGTGTGTGTGTTGAACGGTCGGTGTGGGATAAGGTTAGGAGTTTTAGTGTTATAAAAAAAGGGGGGGGGGGGGGCTGCCTGCAACGCCCTTACTGTCAACATGTCACTTTTAAACCTCCTTCAAGCGGAGTAGGACCCAGGCCTGGACGTTGCTGTCCGTTCAGGTCCACCCCTACTGGTCACTTCATGGATGCTTGACGGTTACTAGGCAACTCACCCTCAAATATAGATTTATAATTATGTATCAGGTCAACTAACCGATTAATTTTGACAACACGAGCCAACTGAGTGTAGTGACAGTCTCTTCGCCACCCGCTGTAAATAGTCACAAATTTATAAAAGTCCATAGGCTCCGTTGAAACAATGTTGCAACTATAAACATGGTGACACGCGAGCTACAAAACAGAGAAATGTGGAGAGAACTGAAGTGTGGATCCGTAACTTGAGCGTACGTTACATTTTCCTGTCTGTGTGTAATAATGAGACACATTTAGTCACCAGCCCAGGCCTCCCTAGCGTGCATTTTTGTCATGAAAACTAATTTGCACAGGCCTCGTTGCTAATAAGAGTACCGAGGAGGTAAAAGAAATATCTGGGCCACAGGCTTCAGGCGACTGTCAGCCCCGGGGTGTTGCACAGAGCGCGCGACAGGGAGCCAAAAGTGGGTGAGGAAAGCGTTTCCTTCTTCACGGAGCTCCACACTGTCGACTGTAAACTCACAGCAAAGCGCTTACCGCGACAAAACAACCTGCTCAAACGCCACACTATTCGACACACTGACATGCAGGCCTGACCAGTGGTGTGTTTACCACTCGGCGGAGGGTGAAATTAAGAGCCGTGGCTGCTTACCATCTTGCAGGTCGGATGATGAAATCCTGCTGAAGTGATCAGAAAGGAGGTTCAACAGGGGAGGGGGGAGTCTGAAGGCCGCCCGAACTGTGGCGAGAAACACAAAATAAGAAAACAAGGTTGTTGCTGTTCTCTGAGGTTTCGTTCTAGCTTTATAGTCAGCTTCAGGCTCTCTTCTCCGTGTCTCTCTCCTCTACCGAGGCTTTCACTGCAGTAGCAAAGGGAGGGAGACCCGCTGGGAGGAGACAGTACGCGGAGGAGGAGGCTCGTTTGACAAGCAGGCGGTGGCGGAGGGGAGGAGAGATGAGGCGACGGGGGGAGGTGCAGCACTACTGTACATCCGGGAACTGCAGGTTAGATTTATTTATTTATATATTTAGCTCCAGTTGAGGTTTGGGTGCCACCTACTGGTTTTATGCGTTTACTACATAGAGCAACCACAGGCCTTTTTACATGCAGCTCTGTATGTTCTCATAGTGCTTGCTCTCTGAACCTCTCTGAACACAACTGGCAGATGGATTTTATTTAATATAATCCCTGCTGCATAAAGCCGTTTCATCAATAGAACAGACTTTTCCTGGTGGATAGACACTAAATCCAACAAGCTCAGCACTGTAAACCATAGTGAGATTTGAAGATGCTTTAGGTGCACAAAAAACATTAGACGACCATACATTTCCTGAATTTCACAAGCTATAGAAATCTTTTGCCAACTTAACTGTTAAAATGCAACATTTTACAAGTTGAATGTCATGTTAAGTGTGTAAACATGTGTTGCTTCAAAAGTAGTGGTTACACACTGATGGCTAAATGCCCCCTAGTAACTCCATTCACACAATGGTTCAGTGTCTTGCACTAAAATTTTCAGTATCTTGTAAAAAATAAAGGACTGTAGGAGCTGGGATCAAACAACTATATAGCCGACTACTTATTTCAATATAGCAGCATGACTGGACACAGGGCCGGCTGGTGGATTTTGATGGCCCTAAGCAAAGTTTTGTTTGGTGGCCCCCAAAAACACACCCTGCACATCCCCTAAACAAAACATGCAGGGGGCAATAGGGACGTGATGCCCCCCCTGTCTTCCTTTTGAGGGAAATTTTATGATAATTAAAAATAAAAACTTTTGGTCATCCAGTTTATGTCCTGAAAAATGACAGTCCTGTAGTGCACTGCAAATCATTAAGCATACATACACCCCCCAAGATAATTGTGGAGACAGATAAAACTTGAATAAACATGTCCCTCACTTCTTTTTGGTTTAGACTTTAAATGATCCACTTTAAACATTGTTTGTTGAATTGTTCATTAAAGTATAAAAGTTGTTTGGGTGTTGATCAGAAAATGTTGTGTATAGTATTCTCTATAATCTGCTCCATTTGTTCTGCTCCAAATATTATTACCATTTACTTTTTTTGTTCGTTTCTAGAAGTTTTGTAACTAACTGTTAAAGTGGTTGTAAATTTCTTTAAAACACATGCTGTTGATCATAGCTGAAAGCAAATGAAGAAAAATGAGTCAAACTAAAACAGACCAAAGATTTTTAATATCTGCAGCTTTATAAATCAACAAGTTCACAAAAAGGTCTGAATTTATGTTTCCTTAAACATCACATTTCATCACAACCAATCAAGTTTTTTTTCTGTTCTGACTTATTGCATAGGTCATTTCAACATTTTAGAGAAAATACTGAATCCAGTTCTTCCAAATACAGAAAATATTAATAAAAAATTAAATGGTTCACTGTACAAAATATTTATGAATACTATCAAAATAATGTTATGTACCATATGAAATAAAATACATAGTTTTGTATTTAAGTTATAAATAGTCCAATCATTTTATCCCTCTGCCATAGATACTAATACAAAAGGATAGAGTCTTTCAGAGAGGTAGAGAAAACACACACATAGAAAATAGGGACACAACCTCAGCCATATCTAAAATTACTTCTTCCAAAACTGCATAGTACTGTTCACAAAATGATACCACAGTGTAATACTCTGAGAGTTTCATTACAAAATGTGTGGGCCCCTTTTTATTAATCTAGGAGCAGGCAGTGGTGGAGGTTCATTTATGCTTGACAAGAGGATTATGGGTAATTTCATGGTGAGATTTGCAGACACAGAAGATTTCCACTGCAGCATCACTGTAAAAGAAAAGGTCTGAAACACACCCTTGGAAACACATGTCTCAGGAGGACGTACCTACTCAGTGATGCAGAGCCGCGTTCAGACCAAAGGCGACCTCCGCGACTGCAGCTTTGGACCCGGTGTGAACACACCAGGGCATGACGCGACGAGAATACAGCGACCAACGCGACTAGGTCGCTTCAGGTCGCGTTTGGTCTGAACGCGGCTTTAAGTCTTAAAAATGAGGGCCACTTCCAAAATAGACAGGAAGATGCGTTTTGAAACTTACGTTTTTAGAAACTGAATCCTCATGGCAGTGATAGTTCTCTGAGAATTGTTGAGGCTTCAGTTTCTGTAATTGTTGAATACTCACAGAGACACACAGTAGCTGACAATACAAGCACATGTGCACTCACAGTCACACATCACGTGACAAGTATGAACACATTCAAGCATTACAAGATACAACCACCAAACTGTACATAAAAAAAAGAAATCACATTACAGCATCAATTCTTGAGTTTCATAATACCTAATTATACCTGTACCATACCACTAAAATGTTGACACATTTCACAGTGATCAGTCTTTTTAAAAAGGTAGTCATTGTGGGTGGTACACTAAGACATGTCAAAACAAAGGGCTAAATGGACTTACAGTGGTCAAAGAGGGTGAAAACAGACACAAATATTATTTTTTCAAAGTCTATGATTTATCAGGAAATACTAATTATTGGAAAACTTGGGCATTATCTTAAGGGGTGCTCTGCATCAGACAAACATTTCCTTGTTGACCCACATGAGTGTGCGCGTGTCGTTGGGTTTGCACTCATACTCGATGCTGTTGAAGCTGTTTCCCCACTGGCAGTGGTCCCTCTTGTTGTAGTTGTAGTACTTTACCTGCCATACAGTTTCAAAAGACCCCGCCTCTGTGAACTGAAGGAGACACATACAGTTCATAAACATATGCAAGAATCATGTTAGGGTGAAATTAAACAGATTGGGTGGCCAGATGGAGAGATGCACACACAAACATGCAAATGTGCAGCATAACATCACAGATCCCCCTGGGAAAGTCAGGACAGATGGGTAGGAAACAAACTGATATTAACATCCACGTCAAACCAGATTTAATATTAACATTGTGTCGTCCCCATCACTATCAAAATTTCTCCTTGGAAACCTAAAAATGAGGCTGAAAATGTTGACTTTTTTAACAGACAAAACATCAGACGTGCTTGTTGTGAAGGTTTGAACAAAGCTCTTGAAGTCCCATGAGGTGATCATTTAATCTTGTTATCTTGTGTGCACCATATAATGGGATGCAGTTATTACCTTGGACACACAGGCCATTATCTTGTTTGCACATGATAAAAAGTATTTTCAAAAAAAGTTTTTCTGTTGTGAGTTGAATATAATAATTTTGTACTATTACTGTCAGTGAGTGGGTTTGTGTTGCATGGTTTCACTTTATCCTGTTCAGTGAATGGCATTTATAAAGCATATTTTCAAGTCTTAGGATACTCAAAGTGAGGGACAACAAGTGAAATGTTAGAAACCAAAATTAACTGGAGCTGATTGATATAGAGACAAGATTTAAAACAAAATAAACAAAAACATTTTAAAACTGCAAGTTGGAGACTTTGGCAAAGAGGGAATTTAATACTGGCACCAAAAAGTTCCTTACAGTAGCTTTAATCAACCATCTAAGTGAATCAACTACAAATTCACCAACATTTTCTTTGAATTTTGGACTCTTGGCCTTATTTGTATCAATATATACTTTGGGAGAATCTGACACCATTATTTTTTCTGAGTTTACATTATTAATAATCAGGGATGGATGAAGAGAAAGTGAGCAGAGAGGTGTGTGTTAAAACACTGGGATTCAATGGACCGGAATAAGTTTAACAACTATTTGAAAGGGTTTTGTATATGTTATTGTGTAAAATGTTAACTGAAACCCTTATTTGTTCTTTGACAAAGACTGGGCAAAACATCAACAAAATACCCTCATCTGTCATGTAGTAAGTGAAATTAACAGAAGAGTAGTAGCTGCATACTGATAACTGTGTAACCAGATCCTCAACTAGAGCTGAGGATATGTCCACGGTATAAAACAGTACCAAACAATTTCAATACTTAGATACTTGCACCATCATCAAGTACGGTCTCTTCCAACAGAAAAGATATCCTAACACACACATCCCTGACCCTGACTACTTCCTGGCTATAAAGGTTTTTTTCTTAATGTATGCTCTACCTGCTTCTTGCAGATTAATTTCCAGCTGGATGTTCAGGATATCCGTACCTGTATGTTGATTTGAACTGGCTGCCTCTCTCCGCTCTTGGTATGTGCCACTCCTTCTGTATCATACTGGCCTGTATAGATGACTGACTGAGGGTCTTTTGACTTCTGCTCCAGAGGGAAGGTCACCCCACCCACACTCATTGATCTGCAGATACACAAGATAACAGATATACTGAAACACATTTGAAAAGGGTAACACATTAAGGATCAAGACAATAAAATAAAATAATGTATCATGAAATATGAAAGAGAGTCAATGCATTGGAAATCACCCATGCGGTTTAATAGTATCCACCCTTCACTCTCTTTCTCTGCCACTGAAACTCTGATCCACGCTTTTATTACATCCAGAATCAAATACTGCAATAGTATCTTGTATTGTTCAAGCTCCAAAATTATCAACAAATTAAAATACACCTATTTTACTGGCTATTTTATTGTAAAGCACTTTGGTAGGTAAATAAAGCTGACATTGACATTGTCAGTGACAGAATTCTGCAGCTCGTCGTCTCCTTATCTGAACCCGTTCAGTGGGCGTGGGTCACCTTCAAAGCCCTCCATGATCAGGCCCCTTTCTACCTCACTGACCTGCTCCACCCCTACTCCTTTCCACACCACCCAATACTCAGACTTGAACCTTCTCAGCCCTACTCTGAGAACTGGGTGAGCACCAAACCTGGGGGGACCAGACTCTCTCTATAACTGCCCCCTCCATCTGGAGCTCTCTCCCCAAACACATCCAAGACATTACTAATATATGAAAGTTCAAATCCCTTGTTGAAACCCACCTGTTCAAATCCATTTTTAATTGTTGATGTAACTGTTTTTCAGTCTGTCTTTTTAATCAGTTTTTACCATTATTTATTATCATTGTATAGTGGCAAAACTGACAACAACAACAAAAATATTATTATTATTATTATTATTATTAATAATAATATTAATAATAATAATAATAATAGTAATAATAATGATGATGATGATGATGATGATGATACAGTCCTGCTACACAGGAACAATGACTTCATCTTTCCCAAATCGTTTTAGGCCCTGCCAGAAAACTATATTGACATTTCATTTATTGTAATGGGTGTACAGCTGTCTCATGAGCATGCCCTAAATCCAACACATCCCCTATGAGTCATCACATGTGTGACCTAAATTTTATACCTCATTCAGTGCTCATTCAGCCCTGTTTCACGGTCTGATTTCCAGGTACATTCAATACTAATCCGCATGTAGGTGGAGGCACAACAACATTCATTACATAACCATGAACTGAAAACAAATCACAGGAGGGAGGCTTCACAAAAACCAAGCGTGGAATCCTAATCTGTGGAGGATTTGACACGCAGCCAGTTGAGGTTTACGCTGCCTTCAGGTGCTGCTCGTTAATTTCTACCTTAGCGCTCTTTCTTCAAAAATAGAACATGGAGCACATAAGAAATGCAAGACATTTAGAGAGAAACTTTAAGAGAAGAGCAAGTCTCTTTTATAACACGTACAATGTAACAGCTGCGTGTCTCTTCTTCATGTATATCAAGCAGGTAGCTTATGTATTTCCTTTTGTTCCTGAATGCAGCTTCAGAAATCTTCATTTTCCTTCTTTGTAAATCCGGTAAAGTCGCCTGTAAGGGTGCCAACAAGGACATTAATTGAGAATCAATTTCCTTTGTCAAAAGTATATTTAAATATATTACAGGAAACTACAAAGAAGTTGGCCACAATTTACAAATTAATGCAAACCGCATAAAATAAATGACTCAGTCAATAGACTATCTAAAAATAATATCAAAATGACGTTTTATGGTTGTTGATGTGTTATGTCACAAACAAATCGAGCCGTGATCCAGTCTACAGCATACTGACCAGAAAAGCATCGATCATGGTCAATAAATTGATCTTTTTACATACATTTTAGAAATAAGTTCACCAAATAGGCTTATGCCCCGGCCATAATATGCTGTTTGTGTTTCGGTATTTAGAAAGTCTACAGGCTGGCAATTTAGGTTATGTCTCAGGATTATCCATGCAGATGACAAAAATAAATAAAAAGGGCTACCTACGTGGCCTCTACTGCTCCCGGTTTGACAACCACCTCGATTTTGTACTTGGATCCGGTCAGCAGCTTGATGGTCCGGGTTTGTCCAAACCTGGCTCCGTCGGATTTGAAGTACACAGCGGTGTTGTTGGGGAGCATCTTCAAAGAAATCCCAATTTTGACTAGCTGAGGGATGTCCGCCATGTTTCCATAAATCGTGTCTTAGCGGGATCAGTAGGATGCAGGGTGTGGGTAATAGGTCGCAGATGTTTAACAGTTCAGGCAGACGGAGAAATGTCGTGCGCTTAAGTCCATGTCAGAGCGCACAGCACAGGGAACTGCGCCGCACTGCGCTCTGTAATCCCGTCCAACCTGCAGCTCGAGCCTAATCCCGACCGATGCTCCCTTTCTGACCCCCAGCGAAAATCTGTCACTCCCTCACACCAATCTCCCTCTCACTCTCCCACCCACCCTCACTCTTGCTCTCCTTTAATGTGCTCCCCTTACTGATTCGGGATTCCCCGGCTCCCTGGTTACAGTTCTGCCCGCCTTGTCGCTGTCCGAGGTGCTTAAACCCTGCCATTTAAGACTGTGTGGATTACTTTAATTGATTCTTACGGAGCTGTGGTGTGCAACAAAACCGTCCGGAATGGGACTTAATCCAAGTTACTCTGCCACTTTTACAATGATCAGACAACAGGGCAAACACAGATAAAAAAAATCGTAAGATGAAAATGATCTGCTCAAAGAAACGGAATGTCTCCCAGATGGTTCTTGAAATGCCCCAGAACCTCATAACACCTCTCTCTCTCTCTCTCTCTCTCTACTGTTACGTCCACGTTATTGTTCAATTTGCTTTACACTTTGCCAGCAATGTCCAAAAGTTTAGTCAGCTATTACCCATTCTACTCCAATGGGACGTCAGTCTGATTTATGAAATACTGCACTGAATGACGGGCTAAACTTTTGGGTGTGACTAGATAGCCTACTTATCAGTTTACATTTCTGAGCAAGAAATCATGGGGTCACGAGCTAACACCACTTATTTTTTTTGCAATCCGTCGCCCCCTGCTGGCCTTGAAATTGGACTAGGCTACACTTTCTAATAACTAATGGCCTCTGAGTTGTGACAGATTGAGATGTGGTTTTCTACCGCAACAGCCCCTTGTTGTCTCCATCATATTAATGCTGCAGATCTCATCTGCACTTCTTCATCCACTTATCAAGCCTCTACATTAAACAAACTGCATTCTGATGATTTTATTGTTCCAATTGATAGATTGATTGGGAGCCAAGTTTGAAAACAAGAAAGCCCTTACTCATGGGATAAGATTAAAAATGCCAATATATTAAATAATATATCAACAAGACAGGCTTTTCAGACTTTGCTTTATCAGCAAGCAAATTGTGCCAATTTGTCTAATCAGCATAATTAGATAGATAGATAGATAGATAGATAGATAGATAGATAGATAGATAGATAGATAGATAGATAGATAGATAGATAGATAGATCTTTATTGTCCCTGGGGGGAAATTCATTTTCACAGACACTACCTTGGACACATAGACTTAAGGACAACATGGCACGTTACGTAATAAGGGACAGAGGGGCACACAGGACATCACCGTACCAACAATAAGGACAAAGCACACAGGACAACACACATGCAAATGAGGCACGGGATTAGTTTTGTGGACTATTCAGAGCAGTGATTGCAGAAAGGACAAAGCTTTTACTGAAGCATGCCTGCTTCCACCTCAGAGTCCTGAACCTGGGGCCTGAGGGCAGCAGGCACAAGTGACCGAGGAGAGGGTGGTCTGAGTCTGTGCTGATAGTCCGGGACATGCGTGTGATGGAGATATTGTTGAAGTGTGAGAGGTCTGTCATGGGCAGGCTGATGATTTTGGATGCTGTGTGGGTGACCTTGGTGAGTTTATTTCTGTTATTGATGGACAGCATGTTAAAGTAACAGGGGGAGCAGTGGAGAAGTATGGGTTGAATGATGCTGGTGTATAACAGTAAAAGAAGTCCTAGCGAAGAGAAGTCTTTGCTGGGAATATTTATGGATATTGGTGACATATAGTTCAAAAGTTGGTTTCTTGTCAAGTGTGAGTCTGAGATATTTAAGTGATCAACAATTTGCATTTTGCTGACATTTGCACTTAAACATTTTCTTGCAGTTAAGAAGACTTATTACACCTTTTTGTGTTCCTGACCACTCAAGCATAAGGACCAATAAGGATTACAAACTTCCATGTACAAAATGTGTGTTGTCCTCACAGTGATGTCAAATTCAAAATGTTCAGGTTAGAGACACTTGGTTATAGTGACTAGAAGAGAACACAATTTGAGCAGAAACACTGGATGTTGCCTCTGATAATTTTAAGAATTGTACAAACCAAAAAACTATTCGAGAGTAGTATTGGCATTGGCCCTGTGATGACTTTTGTCCATTTGAAAGGTTTATAGGTCAACACAATTTCAAAACTAATTGGTGAACGCAGAGCCAAGTGATCTGCACCTGTAATATAGATTTATGACCACTAGATGTCAGGCTTTTATCACAACAAGATTCAACTATGGTATTACCCCACAACACGCTGTGGTTTGAAATAAACATGTATAATGGGGCAGTGATGCACGTCGCCACGTTACTGATATTTGAAATAATTTTGGAGTTGTCATCCAAACAGAAAAATGATCAGAAATAGCAGGCTTCGCAAAAGATCTGTTGTGTTTAATAAAGTGCTAAAGCAAAAAAGAGAAATGACGTAGGAACAGTAAAAAAAAAAATCATCGGCATCTCAAATTAATATGTTATTCAGTGTGTTAATCAGAGGCTGTAGTTTTTTGCCACTAGTTGGAAAAACCGCCATGGAATGAATGCTCGCCATGGGTCACATGGTCGGTCAGTACGGAAGAGCATGACACAGCTGTTGTCATTACAGTGTAGAGGCGTGCTCACATCTTGTCGACTCTCAAACCACGTGTATTCACCAAAAATCTTTGCGTTAAAGTTTGACACTTTTGATTTGAGTTTTCCTGAAGCTTTATAACTTGATCAGTCTCGAGTTTTGTAAGAAAAAAAAAAATAAAGCCGGTGGTAGTCACACAAATTTGGAATCCGTGTACTTTTAGTTGCTCCCCTAAAGTCTGGGTGTAGCGTTTTTGAGACAACGAAGAGATGGAGGTGTCTTTCTGTTTACAAGTGCAACTCAGAATTGTAGGCCGGGACTTCTTAGCCTTAATATTCTTCTAAAGATCAAAACTTTCTCGTTTTGGGGCACAGGGCAATTTCTTTCCCTGCGTAAAATGTGCGTCACCAGTGCAGCGGTGTCTTTGGACTTCTGTTCTGTCAAACTGGACATCACAGATACAGAAAAATAAAAATAAAATAAAAAACTCGTTACCTTCCTCTAGTCTAACCTGATGGTTTTGGCGGTCCTAGTCATTTCGCACCCTTCTCTGTTCTGTGCGTAAAAGTGAACGCGCTATTGGGAAAGCAAAGGAAGACTGGCCCCTTACATTTGTATGAAGCAAGGCGGCGAGTGAGAGTGAGTGAGTAAGGGGAGAAAGAGAGTGTGAGAGAGCGGGAGAGCCCTCCCCCTGACAAATGTCTCGATGGGATCCTCTCCTTCATAACCCAACTCTTCCCAGTGTCAAGCAGATGGCCAAAGTGTCCAGACCGGTCCGTGAGTGTACTCCAACGAACACAGGATGACAGGATGACAGGATGAGAGCAGATAGACAATAAACTTCAACACACGCTTGTCAATTTTATTAAGAGTACAGCGAAAGTCCAAGTAGCCAAACACCCTCAGGCCGGAGAGCACTTGGCTTCATGTGAATGTCTGCCGGTCTCCCAGCGCACTGCGCTGGTGATGCTATGCCGCGAAATCACGCCGGCGAGGAGAGCAGTGGTACCGGGCTGTGGCTGAAGACCTCTACGGGACGCCGGGTGCAGGACTACGCGCTTAAAGATGTGGAGTCTGGGCGGAGGACGATGAATAACGCTGTGCGAGTCGGGGACGGTCTCCTCTCTCCCGCCTCGGCAGGTGCGGCGGGAGCGGAGAGGAAGCAGGGCGCCCGGCTCAGCCTGCTGGGGAAGCCGCTGACCTACAGCGCACAGAGTGGCCGCAGGAACGCGCGCTACCGGCGGCTGCAGAATTACCTCTACAACGTGCTGGAGAGACCAAGAGAGTGGGCTTTTATTTACCACGCCTTTGTGTGAGTACTTACACTTTTGCCATTACAAGTCTCTTCAAACCTCTTCTTGATAGATTTCCTGTTATGCTCTTTGAAACTTTGTGCCCAAATGATTTTCCTGAAGTGCAAAAGCAACTGTTGTAGGCTTAATTAAGTGAATACATGACACTGCTTTTTGAAAATGCATCAGATTTTATTGCAGTTTGCTTTGAGTTTTCCTGATTATGACCAGCTGGTGTCACACACACACACACACACACACACACACACACACACACACACACACACACACACACACACACACACACACACACACACACACACACTTGTATTATACTGATGCAAGGTGTATGAGGATTTTGTTCCCAAAGTAAAACACTCTTTCACTGTTTCACAAGCATCCTCACCATATTTACTTCATAAACCCTATTTCATAACCAGAAAAATGTACTTGTGCATGAGCAACAGAGAATTTAACACTCACATTTCTCCATGTTTTACCTGAATCTGTCATGTTAAAATAAGCCTGGATGAGAACAGATTTTATTTAACTGTTATTGAACATCAAATTGCTTCATCACTGTATGCCAGTTCAGAGATTCAATCACCTGTTGCTTAAGCTTGAGTGTGCAGACAGCACAGGAGACACAGAATGTTAACTTAAATTAGTCAAACCTCTCTCCTTATTTGAACACTGGAAATTGAACAGATCCTTATGAGGGTCAGCTGATAATGCTGACCGAAACATATGTGCTGCTTTGCATGATTTGAGACTGTCATCACTTGCCTGGACAGAGAGGCTTTAGGAAAAGTCTTGATGAAACACTTTTAACGATGAAACGTTTCCCTTCTTGAATTCAAAACACTCTCAAGCTGACAACAGTTTGGATTTTCTGGTGTCAAATTGAAGCACCATGGCAAATATATTGGATTTTCCTATTTTTTTTGAGAAAACACACCAACTAGTTTTGTATTTCTTCATGCAATTTCTATTTACTAATTTGAAGATCATTGTTCACATTTGGGCTCAGCATTTCACACTTTCGCCTACCTAAACTCAAAAGATAAACTGTATTATATCTTTTTTCTGTCTAGACTAGAGGATGCTTATCAACTTGGTATACACTCATACTGTTACTAGAGGTTTCTGTTGTATCAGTCGCTTGATGGTTGGAATAGATAAGTAATCTGTTCGATTCAGTTCATGGTTATGCTTTTGTTGGGCCATGACTTTATGAGCTGTCTGTTTCTGCAAGTTTTTAAT